ATATAAAGGTTATCAGTTACCTTTGTAAGTAGCTGTGTCGCTTCAAAAACCGGGTGTGTTTCAACTTTATTATAATTTATAAACAATAAATGCTAAAATTAATTCTTACATTAGCCTGTATTACACGTGAACTTTTAAATTTAGTGAAATTTAAAGGAAAATCTGTTACCATATATTGGGATACTTAAACGAAGAACAAACAAAACTATAAGGAGCATATATCACAAAGTACTCGTCCTGAAAGTTGCAATCGAAATAATTCTTTTTAACTACTTTCAGTCGAAAGTAGAAAGCACAGTTAGTTGTGAAAACTAACTGTAATTTTCCATCTTAAAATAGTCAAATAGAGAAAACGTTTTTGGACGAAGGGACTGTAGCAGCCCGCAAGATGCACATAGGTGAAACCAGTTACCGCGTGGGAGGCGCACATTATTATCATCTTATACCTATGTATGAATACCACATACGCCGGCAGCGGGCCACCGGCGTTAAAAAACCACCGGTGCCAGACGAAATGGAATGCAAGCAGTCGCCCCTGCACCGCCACCCCGTTGAGAACATCGCCGCGGTCGTCGTCATATACCGAGTACATTCGTGCGCACACATATATATATATATATGCACCTTTTCACGCGCTTTACTCTTAATAAATATATATATATATATATGTATATGTAAAGGTATTGTGATGATACCGTACCCACGGAGAGCATCCCCCACAGTCTGCTTTGACCGGGTACCGCTGTCGAGTTCAACGAATTTATTCCTCAATCAACTGCTTAATCTCTACATTTGAATGGTAGACGGGATTTCCTGAAAATATATTGCCAAGTCATAAAACGATAAAGTAATACCGTGATACCCTTGCACAGTTGACAGATAAACAGTTTTGTAAGTCAAGACGCTTAACATGTTAACGTTCAGTAAAAATTTTAAACATAAGAAACGTATGCTTAAAACATTATTTAACTAAAATTTTCCTTGGTATTCCAATGAAAATTACTGTTATATAATATGAATAATTTAAAACCAAGTTAAAAATAATAAAATATCCGTACAAATAAAGGGGCACCCATTAGAAAGAGAAAAATCAAATCCAAAAATTTTACACCACAAAACTTAATTTGGATATGATTTATATTATTTTTGTACAAACTTTTTTATTCAACTCACACATCACATTGTAATATGNCCAAAAATTTTACACCACAAAACTTAATTTGGATATGATTTATATTATTTTTGTACAAACTTTTTTATTCAAGTCACACATCACATTGTAATATGTATGTATGTTAAAGCTCAAAAATGAGTAAAAAAAAAAAAAAATCTACTGCAGACCTCATTTGTCATTAAATAATTGTCAACTAACACATGATTAAAAAAAGCATTACTAAATATGCTGCCTGTTCTTTTAACATGTCGGTAAATGCATTTGGCCCGTTTCCCGATGCCATTTAAAACGATACGTATTCACCCTCTACATTCTTGCCGATACGACAAAAGTAGTTAGTCGAAACGGATTTTTAAGCTTTTTAAAGTGGTTGACATCACTGCCCTATAATGTTTAGGAGCAATAGAGCATACAACTGCATAGAACGTTTATTATTATGAACACAGAAACATTTTTTTGCACAACGCTGTACTTACAATATTGATACGTCAAATTCATTCACTGTAATATCATTATAACTACAAAGGTCATAAATTTTATCATTATTAATTATTTAACGAAAATATAGTTTTTTAAATCGTGTAAATATAATATGTTACTACATTAGTTTTATTCGTAAATACAATGGGAAATTGTTTAAATATTTGTTCAGATAAATAAATGAAATAGTTAATTAGAAATAATGCAGTATTGAAATTTTCTTCATTAGCGCCTTGTTACTTGTCAAAGTAAAGTAGTAAATTAATTTAAGTTTCAACGATAAATTATGAAGCTTCATGTGACATACAGAATATAAATACCTTTGGTCACACTACAAGTAAAATGCTGTAAGAATAGGTGCATATAATACTAACACAAGACGTAACAACGGCCATAGGACCATTTAATCACTTTAATTGCACAGGGCGGTACTTGTTTTCAATTTAACGTCGCATTTAAATAAAGAACGCAGTGCGAGACACATTATACGTATTTAATTTTATCGACTGACTAGTTCATTTAAAAGATTTAAGAGCGTCTCTTCCTTTCTTTCACTTTATTATTTATACATTTACACACACACACACATATAAACACAAATAATTGTAGCCAGTAAACATAGATACTATGTACATACTAAAAAATAACGACTTATTTTATAAACCGTAACTCAGATGAACCGTTCGCGTTTTATTTTCTATTCAGTTTTTGGCCGATGCCAATGAATATTATTATTGTTGCGAGTGCGACCGATGACACTGGCAGTGGGCCACGGGATGCTGGCCAAAGTACCAAAGACACTGTTTGGTATACCGAAAAGCTTACAATAAACCGTATCGGTAGTTTAACCACTAAGCCTAACATTTAGTGACAATTCAGATGAGACGATCGCCAATTTAGCGCATTACGATAAAAACAGATTTTTGAATTTATTAATAATACAAGTTTTTTTTTTCTTTTCGCAATAAGCATTAAATTTCAAACGACCATATTGAACACCGCTCGAGAGGTACCGCGGGGAGTCTTTGAACCTATTCTCAGCCGCCGATGGATTCACGCGAAAACCATTTGATGAATTCCTTCCTACATCGTTACCGGCCGCCTATTCACGTCCAATAATAAAAATACAAACTAAAATTTCACCATTACCGATGGCCGAAAGGAAAATAAAAAACAACCGTATATGCATAAACCGTACAATTTATTATAATAGTTTTTTTTAATAATCTTACTCGGGGGGGTGTAGCATTCTAGAAATCTGTTTTTTTAATGCGATTACAGCACAATATAAGTTCGTATAAACGTGGTGAAATAGCGTACGGTTAAATACAGTTTTTATTTACACAATATCAATGTTAGTATTCAACGGCTTGAAGTATTGTTTTTTAGGAAATGGGCGTTGTTAAATTTAATCATGAATAATGAAGAGCTTTTGACACACGGGTGACCTCGACATTTCGACATCCGATAAATATTGCAAAACAGCAAGGAAAACGTAAAAGTTTGGAATAATAATTACGCTGATGCAGTTAGAGGAGGATGTGTACCTAGTCGGTGGTATAGAGATGATTACTTTTATCTTTAAATTAATGGGCGGTTGTTGTCATAAGTATACTACAGGTGCGCGCGCGGTCACGATGTATTTGCTTCCTGTCATATTACCTCTTTAACCATCTTCGTCGGCGGCCGAACAAAATAATAATACTGTAATGAAGTCATTGCGGTCTGATTTACAAAAAAATATAAGCCGACGTTCTCAATTAACCGTCATGTAGGTATAGAGTTTTTTGTTTTAACTAGGACCAGTACTCTCCCTCGGGCTCATCACGAAGTATACTTACATGTGGGGTAATACATCACGGAAAGAATAATAATGAAACAAAATTGTACACCGATAATTTATAAAATACGCCTTTCGGCAGTGATCACTTATGGGTACAAAAATATTAACTGTATAATTTTTCTAACGTTTAATTTTTATTTCTCGAAATTATGAAATTTCGTTATGGAAAACTTATGAAAAGGTTCCTCCTTAGGTAGGGATTATTTATTACGTTTTTTTGTCTTTCGACAGACTTTTGTTTTCATAAATCGATTTTCTTATTGTACGTAACAGTGTTGGTGTTTTCTCGTAAAATTATTTATCAGAACAAGGGAAATTTTACCTTAAAAGAAAAAGCCGTTTAAATTTTTTGTCAACAATAAACGCCGTTTGCCATTCAATTTTTTCGCCGAGGTCTGGTTATCTCTTGTGCACATTTTTTTTTGATAAATTTTCAATTAAGTAAAATTGGTTTATTTATTACTGGTGTTGAGAGACTGCGATGTGCATGTTCGAGTAGGTCAATCGATTACTTGTCAAAACAGGTTCTTTCAATAGTCGGTCGCTTCCAGTAATCGTCAACCGCGACGAATTACTTTGAATGATTAAATTTTTATTTGTAGAAAATTCGGTCCGAATTTAGAAATAAAAACGTCTAAAAATCAGGAGACGCGAAAATCTTAATTTTGAAATGTTTACTCTAGGGAAGAAATAAAAATATTTAAAAATAGCCAATTCAAAAACAAACAATGAACTATAATCTTTAAATTTTAATTAATTTTTGGCGTTTGTAATCTATCATCGTTAAACTCGTAAATTGACTTAAGTTAAGAACCTAATGGAAACTAATTATCTCGAGAAACGAAAAACAATGAAATATCTAAAAAAAAAAAAAAGCGGCTGAAACAAAATTAACGCCTATATGTAAATTAAATAAAAATGAAGTTATAGCCCAACTCAGTTGCATTAAATAGCTAATAAGCTATTACAATAATACTAGTTTAACACGCGTTATCATTGAAAATGTGAAGCGTAAAAATGCAAAAAATAAAGAAATGGAATTAAAAAATTCAATTAATCATAATAAACTGTAATTACTAGAAAGTCTAAATACAATAAATCATATAAAACAGGTAATTAGTGATAAAACTTAAGAGAGAATCCTTTGCCACTCACGTGTACAAACTTTCATGACCTGTTGGGAGCAACGGGAGAAGGTGCTCACAAACGATTATCTCAAAACATGATAACATATAGCTGACACTTAGTTATATAAAACACGTTGCGAGTGACGACATTCAAATACCATAAGATAGTATTTTTAGGTGCAAGAGACTCCATTTGCGCTGTTTAATATGGGACGACATTATTATACGTGGAAGTTATCAGATTTTTCTCCAATTAGCAATGCAAAAAAATTACATTAAATAAATACATTCCATTTCGATTTAGGAAAACTTTTGGAGACAAACTCCATATATGAATTGCGAAATTTGGGCGTTTTTTAAAAAAAGAAACACTAACCTTGAATGATCTGTTGAGGAGTGTCGTACAAGCCAACTGACCGGAACTGTTGAATGGCGACTGCACAATCGGCGACATTTTCTGCGGCCGGGTGTGCTAATACGCCTAACCGGTACAAACAGCAGAATGACACAAACAAAGTTGACCACATAAGTGACCGCATGATTAGGTTAGATGTAATGTAATAGAATAAATAGCAAGGAAAACAACGGAACTCGGACAATGCTACCCGTTGGCCGCGTCAAGATCACACAAACTAACTGCGATCGTTTTCAGACTTATTTCTTTATTTTATTTGTTCATTGTTTCGCGCGAATAAAATAAAGAAAAATTTCATATGGTCGCACTACATGAAAATCTACCGGATGATGATGCGAACTGTGTAAATCTATTACGGAAAACTGCTCGCGGACAGCGTCAAACAGACCTAGACGTCGTTTACGAACGTGGCCGCCCGATATGGTGTCAATGTGCTGACTGACGGCGGATTCGCACCGCGCATGGTGCGGGACGCCGCCTGTACATGACGGGTGGGTGGCCCGCGAGGTACCGATAGGCGGACGGTGGGGAAGGGCAAAAGCCGGTCAGCTGAGCGACCTGACTATACACGGCTCCTTGTGGATGCGTTGGTAATGGTACTGCCGTGAGGTCGTCGACGTGTAGCTCCATCTGTCGGACCAGCAGTCTTAGAATAACCAACACATCACACAGTCTCAGTTTGTGATCTTAACCAAACACTTGCAAATTAAAATTTTACAATTTTATATTTAACACATTTTTTTTTTTTTGATAAAATTTTGAATTTGTATACTTACGAATATATAATTAATGTTTTTCTACAGTTTTATAACATGGCTTTTCTGGAGAGTATACATTTTCCTGATTCCTCGACCCAACGAAAAAAATTGTACTTTTATGACAACGTAATTTTTTCTTGAGAGTATATAATACACGTATCCTCTCATAATTACACTAGTGCACAGGCGTAAGGTGTTAACATTTTTCGGGGATGCTAAATTTAAAGTCTCCCATTCCAAAAAAAATAATTTTTTTATAGCAATTCATAGTATTATGCTAAATTTATGAAGTGACTAAGCTACCTTAGCTCCTCTCGCCATATGTCTATCTAGTAGTGTATTCGTTACTATAAAACAATAAGATTGCATTATAACATTTTCTATTAATATTTAAAATGTATATGAATTTACATATTTTTCACATTTGTTTGACCTTTAAGCTTTTGTATGAAAGTAGTTTGTGATTTTATCGCAACTTGTATATAAAATTACCAACTTAGCAATAGTTAGTAGTTTATACGAGATACAGTTATTTATTACCCTTAACATTTACATGCAATCCATTTCGATTCAACAGGAGTGTTCATGAGAAATTTCACTAATACAAAGAGTATAATACTCTTTTTACTATAATAGTTATACGTTAAAGCAAGAAGTACAATTACTATTTTTTTAAATTAGAAGAAGTATTTAAACTACTTTNGCAAGAAGTACAATTACTATTTTTTTAAATTAGAAGAAGTATTTAAACTACTTTTAATTTCAATACAATATTTATGTATTCATTTTTTTATTAAATTAAACAATTAAGTGCATTTTGTTTTGTAACTAAATGTATATCGAATTATTAATAATTGTTTCATTTTAATTAATTTAATTTTGAGTTATCTAAAAATCTGATTAATTTTAATTTATAATATTCATAATCTTCCTATTTTTTTATAATTATTTTTTAAATATTGTAAGTCTTTGAATTGTACTTTTATTTATTTATTTATTTAATACTATGTAATATAAGTAAAACTAAATTAATAATTATATTTTATTGTAAAAAATAGAGATATCATGATTTATTGACGTCGAAAGATTTGTTACAGCTGTATTACGTCATTACAATATAATCATCGATCATACCATAGCGCCAGCAAATTAAATAAGAATATAACTATTTTACATATTAATTACCTTTTATCATACGCTTTGAGTTATGCTGCGTAAAAACTTTCAGCAGTAATAATTGCAATCAAAATAATTCTAATGATATGTTAATTTGTACTATCATAGTCTGAAGAAATATAGCTTCTGTTGAACTTTATACACAAAAAATCTTGCGTCATTACCTAAACAGTGCCAAGGTTTTTCGGGTTCTAGATTAAACATATTTTCCTTCTAGAATTTTAGTTTTTGCGAATGGTTTTTCGTAGTAATCAAATGTTTCTTAATTAAATAATTTAATATTAGCATAAGACAAAAGTCGATTGTTGGATTTAAAAAAATGTAACTCTCTCGTTTCCGGTAAATGAAGAAAATTTCCAAAAGTGTACTAATTTTTAAAATTGCTAAATTTTATTACTTTATATATATATATATTTTTCTTAAAACATATTAAAAATGTTCTCATGAAAATTTTGAAAAAGAACGAATCAAAATTATTATTGATTTATAAATATCTTAGTAATTTTCCTTTCATTTGACTTACATTTTTTGAAAATGTGACTCTTTATCTGCCCACAGAGGAAGATTCAAAAAAGTAATTTTTGTACAAAAAATGAACTTTTGAAAATATTCCTAGACACATTGCGTCCTTTAAAAATTTGTTAAAATAAAACTTATAAAACGTACTATAACTTAAAAACCAACATTTGTCACGGCACTTAATTTTTTATGTAGAAATGGCTCTGCCGTAATTAAAACACGTGCTATTTTTGTGTTACAATTTTGTTTGATATTTTATTTTTTCAACTTTAAATTTCTGAAAGTTATTAAAAAATATAGGTTTCAACAAATATATTTTTGTTAATGGTATGTACATATCTCTTTTGTCCGGTATAATTTTTTAATTTCAGAAATATTCCGAACTTCAAACAGGTGTTAAATTAAAGCTTATGCTATTTACTTTAAGTTAAAAAAAAAACTTTGCTGTCTTCTATATGTAAATGGCTCACGAACTTAAAAAAATGTTATTTTGGTGTACAAGATATTTCATGTTATAATTTTTTATTTCAAAATTTTTTTTTTGTTATTTGACTATATGGTATTGTCTTATAAGAGTTAGCGGATAATTACCCCATTAAACCCCGCTTTTACAAAAAAAAAAAACTATACAAATGATTTAATTGTTTATTATACATATTTACAGGGAAAATTTTTGCAACGTTATGAGTCAATCCAATATGTATATTAAAATGAAGGAGGTTGTCTTTCCAAAAAAAATCTACTCGTTTCCTCTTAAAATAATAATTATTGTAAGAAAATCCTTTTTGGTATTTTTAGTTAAAAATATATCTTAAATTATTAATATTTTTTAATTCATTCTTTAAATTTGATAAAGGTGTCAACTTAATTTGTTTTAAGGATCTACATATATATTTAACTAGTTTATAAAATAAAAAAATGATTTAATTATGAAAATAACTGATGGACTTTGATCCATTATTTCGGAAGTTATAACTTGTTTAAATATAGAGTGATGGTGAAGTGTGTGTTATATTGTTTTTACCATCATGAGGAGCGAACCCAAGACCTTGAGCGCCGAATTATACGTTTTTACCCACTAGGCCACGCTAACCTCTTTCTGTACACAACACTTTTTATAATTTCCCCGTTAAATTTTCAATATACAATTATTGAATATCAACTTCATACTAAATTTAATTTCATAATAAGTATTTATTCATGTATTACACTTTTAAAAATTGTAACCAGAATACAAATACGAAATAGGGTTTATGTTACTTTTAGAAAAATTCTATAGTTTCATCTAAAAATTAAACATTATCTATAGATTTACACCTAAAAATTTTATATAATAGTGATTTTATTAACTGACTGATATCATCTATACTTGTCCCACTATCTTGAGTTTTTTCGAAATATTTACTTATCTAAGATTATAAATATAATCTTAATAATATGAGTGGTCAATAATTGTTTTAACAATATAGCCAATGTAAAATTGTCCCGTTATTTCGATAATATTCTCTAATACCAATTATTTTTTTATTTTATTTAATAATGCTCGTTTTTTTTTAAATTTTAGGCTTAAATGGTAGTAGTTAAGAACAGCAGATAAAAAAAATTGTACACAATGTCTTTACAATAATTAGTGTGATTATTGGGAATAACTTGACAAATAATTTAATGAACAATACAGGTAACGGTATGTATTAATTTTCTATAGCTGTCATAATATTTCATCGAATCAACCATATGCTTAGAATGCAGCTACAATTCAAATATAAAAACCTTAATTTTATTTACAAAAGATACTTGACAAAACAGGTCATTCATGAAAAATGAAAATGTGTCTGTTGGGTATACTGCAGGTACCCATCCGCTTCGATACTGGATCCTTTGTTTTGTTTTCCTGAAATATGTTTACCTTGAGACCCTATTCCCCTTCTTAACCATCCCTGCGTTCTCCTTTTCCTAGATGGTACCTTTCAATTCTTATCCGTCGACAATCGTCCATAAGTACACTCTTAGCATATTTCATGTTTTGTCACAATTTCCAGTTTTTAAGAAATTTTACATTTAAATTTGAGGTCAGGCACTATTAACATATTATCTTGTTATTTATGAGTCTGAAAGGGAATAAAAATGTTATTTTAATTTTACTGAAGTGGTGATAAAAAATATTTTTATTAGCATTCCAAAATAGTATGTTATTTGTTTGTCATCAAATAACGAAGATAAAATTAAAATATATAAAAACTTATTTAAAGTAAAAATACAATCTTAACACTCTTAAAAAGTTTAAAATAAGCTAAGAATATATTAGAAGATCAGAAAGTTCATAAAAGGGTTAATTAGCTTAGATAATTATTCAAGAGATTCCTTTAAAAACGGGAACAATCTTTCATTTTTTTAAATCTAATTTTGCAGGTTTTGAAAATTCAAAAGGAGTACATAAGTCTAAGAAGAAAATAATTACAATTATAATTTAATGAGAAATACAGTGCAAGTTTTCAAAATTTTGAAATGGAGTTGTTAATAATTTGTAGTTTTTTTTTTTTTAAATTACTTAAATGCTTTAAAAATTAAAGTTATAATGTATTGAACAGAGTTTTTTAACTGCCAATAAATGAAAATATCGTTTGGCCAATTTAAATTTGCGTTATTAAGTTGTTTTTAATGTTTTTTATAATTGAAACTCAATTATTTGAGAGTATTCAAATATGCTATAATTAATGAAAAGTAAAGGTTTATTCGAAATCTCGGTATGTTTAAAATAGTTTTAGTTAAATGCTAATCCTTGAACCAGAAACATAATGACGCCAAACTGGCGGACGAAATATATGATTTATCACGAGAACTATTAAGTTTCATTTGTCGTTAAAAGTGTAGGCAAATTACTATTTTGATACTGATTTCAATTAGTTGTAATGATATACGGTTAGTTAATACCATAATAGTTTATCATATATCTTAAGAAATTTTACATAATTTACGTAATATTACAACGTTAGAACCCCAAAAAATGTCTAGTATAAACACTATGTCCACGACATATAGAAACTTATGTTTTAAAAGATATTATATTTAGCAGTTTATGTAATGATTAACTGTAACAAATATTATACAGTCGTAAATAACAACACCAATAAACTAGAAGTACCTTCAGTAATTTTGTTAAATAATATTATTGGACTGCGTTAAATGGATTATTTTTTATTTTTTGTTATGCTCTTAGATTTCTATTGGTAAAACGTTTTTTTTTTACTATAAGCATTGCATTTAAATTCCAATACTAAATGTATTCTTTTAAAAATGTACAATATTTATAAAATTACATTATAGTTGTTTTAGCTAAGTTTATAATGAATAAAATTAGAGAGCAATAATTCTTTCTATAAATAATATTTACAGAAAGAATTATATAATAAAAATAATAATATAGTTATGGTTTTGTTGTTTTTTTTGCGATTTTGAAATGACTTTGTCAATATATTTTCCTCTTGAAAATTTATGTTACTGTGATATCTTCTGATTTCATCTAAAACACACGTATCAAATATGTTGTAAGCAATTTAGCTTTACATTAAAATATTTTATAATTAAGCTATTATTCGTCACACTGAATATTAACAATTCAACATTCAAAATAACTTAATTATTCATTGATGTTTAAATATTAACAAACATTTTAAATTGAAATTCTCACATTTTCATTTATTCAACATTAATAATATATGCATATTAATGTATCATATTTATTTCATGACATTAGAGATATCCATTAATAGCTGGGATTTATTGTGGATTTAGAATAGATATGACATATTACACAGTTTTCATATCAGTTATTTTTAATTACTTAACATAATTAAATTCAAATGTTGGTAAATCCGTATTTATTGAAAACTTCAAGCTCATTTATTCTAATGTCTCAGGGGCAGTAATGATGATACTCGAGTAACATTACTGAACTGTGATAAATTATATAATATTTTTACGATTTTATTTGAATATAAATTTTAATTTAACTTTTAGAAGTATCGTGTAAAAATATACTCATCTGGTAAATAAATTTTAAATGGTAAGATTATTAACATGTTTAAAACTAGATTCCACATTTATGGGAAATAAATCGATTTTGTTATTTCATTTTATGGTTATTGACCATTTTTATATTAATCCTTTTAAATAAAACTCACAAGTTTTTCTACCTTATTATCTGTGTGTATCATGTAATTTTCTAAAACACGATGCAGTTATTTTTTCATTACTTTAAAATTTAAAAAACATAATCTATTAAAAATAATATTTTTTGCATTTTAAGTAATAAAATTTACTTAAATAATATGATTTTCAGATTTAAATAGTTTATGTGAAGAAAAAAGTAAAATTCAACATGAACCAATTAATGCAACCACATGATTCAAAAGCCATTAGGAAACAAGTAGTTAGTAAGTTATAATATTTTGCTGATAACACATAATTAAATTCATATTCGATTCTGTTGAAGCTGTTAACTGTATAATAAATATCTCAATATGCATTAAATTTCTGACTTTATTAATAACTGGATCTCATTATGTACTAGTTTCTCTGAATAATATTATATTTTGTCAGTCTTGTATTAGTTTGTTATTTAGATTTTATTTAATTAATTATAATAGTTCCTAGACATTTGAATCTAAATTTAAATTTGTTTATACATAATGTTTATATGCCTTGTTATTTTGTTTAAGAGAAAGATTGGAATAATAACAAAGATTTGAGCAAAGCAGTTCAATTATTACCCAGTGATATTGAAATTGTTGAAATTAATTCTAACAAAAGCGATAAAGAAACGCAAACATATCCAATGTCAAACGCTCTAGTAAAACACTTTATTTCACAGTGGATTTGTAAAATATGAAACTTTTAGAGTAAATTTTGGTTTTACTTATATTCTAGGAATTAGACCAGCTGAAGGTTGCTTACAAAAACGCTATCATGAAAATTGAACAGCTTCAAACTCAACTTGATCAGATAACAATTGAACAATGTAATCAAGATGTAAACAAAAAACATTTAGTGAGGGTTATACATATAAAATATTTTTTTTATAGGAAAAAAATGTGGATATATTCTTAATAATGTCATATTACGCAAATTAAATACATTACAAATTTTAATTAATAATATAAACAATCTGCTTGATTTTAATTAATATTATTATATATTTAAGTTACTTAAACATCATTTTGTATATAAAACAATTATCTTTTCTTACATTGGTAGTTATCATTTTTATAAAAATGTTTATTAAAATTATATTATTATTAAAAAAGTTATTTTATATTTACCATTTTTCCATTTTTTTTATTAGGTGATTTAATGATTTGACTAATTAGTGTACCATTCCCGTATCATATGTAATATTAACCACAAAAAATATTTAAAAAGAGCTAAGGTAAAATTTTTTTTTTTTTTTTAATTTCATTTTTTACAGAATAACTGAATGAAATTTTATTAAACTTCTTTGACAGTTTGTTTAATTATTTTTTTTTCCCCATTCAATAGTTTTGATTTATTTTGATACATTAATTAGTTAGAATAAATCTAAATTATTTGGAGCGACTTAAACTACTGATAAAAAATAATAATTTAACAAATGATTGGAAAAATTGTGTATATTCCTAACTTGATATTATATTAAGAAATAAAATGAGCTACTATTGATTTCTTGATATAAATATCAATATTGTAACTCTAAATATTAACATTTAGTATTATTTTATTAATCTTTCTTATTTCTTATAAATATTAAGGGCTGCTTATATTAATTTCAATATTTCAACTTCTATATAAAATTAAAATGAGAAAATTAACACTTTGATAATATTTAATGTTAATAATTTTTGTTAGCAACTAATACAGTTTTAATGAAATATTTAGATTTAATTCATTAAAATGTTTTGTGTGACTATTTTAATTATAAAGTCAATAGATTTTACTTATGATAAATATCTATTGAGGTTATAAAAAATTAACAAATAGTGTTTTAATTAATTTAATATAAATTTTTATTAGCTCTTTTAAATTATTTTTAGTGCAGTAATATATAAATAAAATTACAATTATTAATTAGTTTTTTGTAGTTTAACATATTTATAAAATTCAGAATATTGTAATTATAATAAAAAATTAAATAAATGCTACATTTTATTTTCATAAAAACGTTGTATTTTCATATAGTGACCTAAAAGATGTAGTTATACATTTTTAATTTTTGTACACGATAAGGTTTTTTTCAATGATGAGTAAAACTAAATATATATTTTGCATAATAGATTTATTTAACAGAATTATACTAATAAATAATTAATATACTATTTAATGTTAGCATTCTGTGATTCTGTAATAATAGTTTATTCAATTAACATTTACAATAACCTTAGAAATAAAAGGAAGAGTCTAATTATTGTGTTGTTTCTATATTATAGTATATATTTATTGTTAGATTATTGCAATAAAATACTATTAATATTTTAAAAATTATTTAACTATTTTTTCAATAATCAGTGTAAATTATTGAAAAAGTGTATTGATCATAAAGATTTATTTTGAAAGATAACCCCAAAAAAATACATTTTTATTTATAAAGTTAATATATTATATTAATTTGTGCTTTACTCTGTACTAAATAATTTAATCACGCGTAGACAATTAATATAAACACTTATTATGTGTATTTTTTAAGTTTAACTACTTATAATAAAACACGTCTGTAAAAAATTCCATTTTATGTTTAAACATCTTTCTCTTGATGTAAGCTTAAACAGTAATAAATAATAATATACACATTTTCAAGAGAACAAAGTAGAACGATTAGCTAAATGTGTAATCGGCACGATCTTTTACGTTTGTTTAGTATTATTCTTTCTTATTAAATATATACAATCATAAATCATTATTACTAAAGTGCAAACGATATCGAAAGGTAAAAAATTAAATTACATGTATTTCGTTGGCATTAAATTTCGTCAGTTCTACGTTTATTATTCAGTTAAAAATGTATTTATTTTTAAGTATTAATGGCTTTTATTTTTCTACTAATTGTATGGTTTATAATTTTAATAAACTTATTATTATACTTTTGAATTATTTTATAATATTCAATTTTATAATAATCTTTTATGATCAAGGTTAGTTATAGAATTATACTTTGTCTTTGGAATTTTTTGAAAATTATTGAGTATCAATACAATCAATAGAAAATACCACTTAGTATTCAATTATTAGTTAATCGATCCCTGAGCTATGTTTTCAATACTAAAAATAAGTGTTCCCTATTCGATATTACTTTTAGATATCATTACCTATAAACTATATCTATCGTTATATGTTTTGGAATTAAATGCATTTATAAATTTTGTTTAAGCCACTTTGAAGGGTACCAAATTTTTGTAATTTTGTTATAGGATTATACAGTAGCGTAAAAATGTCTTTGTTTTAGGGAGTCATAAATCTCTTTAATCCCCCTAATTAACTGTAGTAACACATTACTCAGTCTTTAAGTCAAATAATAAAAATTTATACTGGCTTATGGTGAATTCGGGATAACTTATCAAAATTTACAAATACATGTAATTCCTAACTATATACTTATAGTTATAAGTGATAATAATTGTAATCAAAACAAACTTACTCCTGATTTTCATTTGTAACGCTCTATACAGTAATGTACGCATATTGCCTAACGTTGCGCCGTGTTTTAATCCGTAAATAATATATTTATTAAATTATGCAATTATTTATTTATGTATCTATATTATTACTGGATTTTATTATTGTACATTACCACAGTCAATGCACACACTGATTACCACCATTATGATAACAGCGTATATTAGTTTTAAAAAGGTGCTAGACATGTTGTTTGAGTTAATCGAGTCATGTACATTATGCGATTTTAATTAAGAGTGTTCCAGCATTTTTATTAAAATACATTATACCTACTAGGTTCGTCAACGATATCGATATTTTTTTTTATTTAAAACTAAAACATTGAAACTATAATAGTATTATTCAAAAAAACACAAATTCATCTATTTAATATAACCAATTTATAATAATAAAGTCTTGTAACAAAACATAACTTATTTCTTTATAATAAAAAATAGTTTGAAAATATTTGATTGTCGTTAGAGATATATAACTCTTAACTATATTTTTTTAAATATTATTATCATTATCTGATTAGTATACCATAGTCTGATTTCTACAACAATGGAAACTGAATGTTATTCCTGAAAATAAAAAAATATGTTTAAAACATTTATATATTAAATTTAATTTTTGAATATCACTTTTTTCCGATATAATATTGCTGAAATTATGTATAATATCGATATCCAAAATTATATCGATGACGAACCCTAATGCCTACTGTTTTAATGTATGCAAAATCTTATTGAAATTTATGGGATTTCTTCATAAATTAACAAAATTGACTAACGCGAATTGAACATTTTATAAAAATGGCTCAGGTGCTGGAAATTGGCATTAGTAATAGAATTGGAATACCTGGATAACGTGATTTTTCATTACTAACAAACAACGGATATGATAAAAATTGTGGGATGTGTCGATATTTTAAAATTACAAATGTGTGTTTCTGTTATTTTTTAATATGTTAAATAATGAATTAATGACATCTCTATATAATCAATTACTATTACGGCTGATTTAAAATCCAATTATTTGTTCATTTTTATTATTATTATTATTTTTGTCTTTCTTATGAAAATTTGTTTGTTTATTTTTTTTTAGTATCTTAACTAATAACAAAAAATACAAAACCAAAAAGAGTAAATTTCAACGTTATTCAACATTGTACGTTAAATAATTTATATGATAAAAGTTTTTAATAATAAATTGTTATTTAATTTTTTTTGTTTTAACGTTACTCTATGTTTACATTTCACGTTAAAAAAATTCGAAACATAATTCAGTATCATAAGCAGTTTAAATAACTCATACTAATATTAGAGCTAATATTNGGAAATTTTTTTATATGGAGGAGCAAATATTTAATGGCTAAAACTTAGTCCCCTTGATTGTTACTAACAATTGTAGCAGAAAAGCGGGTTAAGCTATTTTTTTGGATTCTAGTCATCATATAATAAAAATTGGTAATTTACACATTTTACCCTTAATAATACATATTATTAGCTTCGATGCGAAGCTGAGAAGATATTAATTTTACCATGATGTGTTTATTTATTTACGTCAAGAGATCACAAATCGTATCTAGTTGAAGATATTACCCTTAAAAATTGAAAAATTTTCCCTCGTTCTCTGTAAAAGTTGAAAATCTCCCAAAAAATTACAATTTTTAATATTGGTAAATTTCGACATTTTTTTTCACTTTTTTCTAAAAATTGTCATAATTTATTGAAAATTGAACAAATCATAATCATTTTTTTAAATTGAAACCTAAAGTAATTCCCTTTTATTTAATATCATTTATTTGAAAATATGATCCTTTACCTGCCCACAAGATAGGATTCATAATAGCAATTTTTTCGACTTAACTTTTAAAAATTTTCCGGAAATACTGCGTCCGTTAAACTTATGTCAAATTAAAGCTTAAAATACGTTTTATAAATTAAAAAAAATTTGTCTCCACGACTTATCTTCTAGTCGCAAATTGCTGCCTTAGTTAAAAACTTGCTATTTTTGTATTAAAATTTTCGATTTTATATTTTCAACTTTTAATTGCTCTAACTTTTTGAAAAATGTATAGATCAACACAACTTTTTTTTCTAAATACATAATATATACTTCTTTCATAGGAAATACTTTTATTTTAAATCAGGCAATTATAAAGGGGGCGTTAAATACTTGAACATACGTATAAAAAGTATAACTTTTTCAACTTAACTTTTGAAAATGTTCCAGAAATACTGCGTTCTTTAAACATATGTTAAATTAAAGTTTATATTATATATTATAAGGTAAAAAAAAAAATTTCCCGATAACCTATCTTCTTTATGCAAATGGCTGCCTTAGTTAAAAGACATGCTATTTTTGTGTTCAAATTTTATTTTATTTTTTGTTTATTTTAAATTACCTTATAAGGGTTTGCCATAGTAATGAGTCCACCAATAAATATAAAGTTTACATGAATCTTAAAATCAGTATCGAATTATGCGTAGTAATTTGTTTATTGGACTTCAAAATTCTATGATACAATGTATTAAGAGCTACAAACAGAAAAAAAATAATATTTTACGTTTATTGATAAAACATATTTTTCGATTTTGCTTTTTATTTTTTAATTACGTATTGATTAATACATTTAATCCAAAGTTTTAAACCTTAGTCACGGCGTGTTCCTTTTTTACTTAAAAGTTACATATGGTTTATCTTTAGTAAACACCATAATTTATGATGTATGAATTAGTTTTCCACATTTTAAAGTTATAATAATATAGTAATTCTTACTTTGCTGATTATGTAATCCAAGAAGTAATGTATGTAATTTTTATTTAACGAATTGAATAGGAAATCGATAATTTTTAGGAAAAAGACACTTAAAAAAATTTGACTTTAGCAAGAGGATAAACTTCATTTTTTACTTTATTTAAAAGATATTTAGAAAGTCTTACCACAAATCTTCGTATAGTAGGCATTGCTGCAAGGTCATATTTAACAAATGTACAAATTTCAACTGATTACAAGCAATATATCTTATATCTTTCTAAGAATTCCTTTTTAAAGATATGGTAGAAATAATTTTGATATGAAAATAATTTATTCATTATACTTATAAAAAATAAAATAATGCAATAACTAATAACCCTTGTTGCCAAAGCATTATTATGTAAATAAAAAAGTCTAATATTGATTTTATTTAAAAAATCTACAAGTATAATTACAATTAGACCGTGAGTGCAGTATGAAAAAAAAAATACAAACAACTTTGGTTTAACTATAATATTTTCTAATATATTATGAAGATAAAAATATGACATTCAATTATGAAAATAAATTTAAGCTTTTTTAGTCCAGAAGAGATAAAAATAATTTATTTTACTATATATTATTGTAACGTTTTTTGAACCTATTATTTTTTCTCTTTATAAGTATAAAAAAATGTTCAATAGTTTTTGAAAAAATGAGGGTCTTACCAAATTTAGATCATTTTATAATTTATTTATAGAAATAAATTTCTAAAACTAGTAACATTTATAATAATTTAAATAGATAACACAATAGATAGTATACTAACTAAAGAAATCACAATTACTACAGTATCGATNAAATTATGGTGTTTACTAAAGATAAACCATATGTAACTTTTAAGTAAAAAAGGAACACGCCGTGACTAAGGTTTAAAACTTTGGATTAAATGTATTAATCAATACGTAATTAAAAAATAAAAAGCAAAATCGAAAAATATGTTTTATCAATAAACGTAAAATATTATTTTTTTTCTGTTTGTAGCTCTTAATACATTGTATCATAGAATTTTGAAGTCCAATAAACAAATTACTACGCATAATTCGATACTGATTTTAAGATTCATGTAAACTTTATATTTATTGGTGGACTCATTACTATGGCAAACCCTTATAAGGTAATTTAAAATAAACAAAAAATAAAATAAAATTTGAACACAAAAATAGCATGTCTTTTAACTAAGGCAGCCATTTGCATAAAGAAGATAGGTTATCGGGAAATTTTTTTTTTTACCTTATAATATATAATATAAACTTTAATTTAACATATGTTTAAAGAACGCAGTATTTCTGGAACATTTTCAAAAGTTAAGTTGAAAAAGTTATACTTTTTATACGTATGTTCAAGTATTTAACGCCCCCTTTATAATTGCCTGATTTAAAATAAAAGTATTTCCTATGAAAGAAGTATATATTATGTATTTAGAAAAAAAAGTTGTGTTGATCTATACATTTTTCAAAAAGTTAGAGCAATTAAAAGTTGAAAATATAAAATCGAAAATTTTAATACAAAAATAGCAAGTTTTTAACTAAGGCAGCAATTTGCGACTAGAAGATAAGTCGTGGAGACAAATTTTTTTTAATTTATAAAACGTATTTTAAGCTTTAATTTGACATAAGTTTAACGGACGCAGTATTTCCGGAAAATTTTTAAAAGTTAAGTCGAAAAAATTGCTATTATGAATCCTATCTTGTGGGCAGGTAAAGGATCATATTTTCAAATAAATGATATTAAATAAAAGGGAATTACTTTAGGTTTCAATTTAAAAAAATGATTATGATTTGTTCAATTTTCAATAAATTATGACAATTTTTAGAAAAAAGTGAAAAAAAATGTCGAAATTTACCAATATTAAAAATTGTAATTTTTTGGGAGATTTTCAACTTTTACAGAGAACGAGGGAAAATTTTTCAATTTTTAAGGGTAATATCTTCAACTAGATACGATTTGTGATCTCTTGACGTAAATAAATAAACACATCATGGTAAAATTAATATCTTCTCAGCTTCGCATCGAAGCTAATAATATGTATTATTAAGGGTAAAATGTGTAAATTACCAATTTTTATTATATGATGACTAGAATCCAAAAAAATAGCTTAACCCGCTTTTCTGCTACAATTGTTAGTAACAATCAAGGGGACTAAGTTTTAGCCATTAAATATTTGCTCCTCCATATAAAAAAATTTCCAGCGCCCCTAATTATTTTGTTTATTTTTATTCATTACAAATGGTATAATATATAGATTCTGTACATTAATATTTAATAAGCTTATTATATACTGTAAAATAAAAAACAAATTTTTTATGAAGTGCTAATTAAATCATATTACCCAAATATTTTTTATTATTATTAAATGGAATTACACTTAATACATTAGATAATCATTTTGTATACTATAACAAAATGAAGAACACCCTTCCTATTGAATACAAACCATAAATGTAATGAACTCAAATTTTAAATCTCATATACTAGATGTTTTTCAAATAACGTAGATAAATTTAGTTGCTTATAATTATTAACAATATTTTACAATTCTATGTATAAAAAGAATTATTATATGTGTTGGATACACATCAATATGCTGTCACAAAATTGTGTTGTGATTATTTATGCTATTGTTGTGCTACATCGAGTTGTTGTCGGTCTTCTCTCTATGTCTGGATTGTCGCCGCCATCTTAACGTTTTTTAGCTATAAGCTCTATGGCGCTTGCGAGCCAGTAGTTTTGTATTCGTTTTATTGTAAAAGTAAAATATCACCTTTGCGATTGTTGTACACTCAGTATACGCCGTTGGTCTAAATATTTTCTGAGATACATCAAAATACCGTTCACAACATATTGTACACGTTGGTCAACTACTTGCATTTGATTTCAATTGATCCTTTCAATGTACAACATTATCATCTGCCGTTTCAACTATCCGATAAGTATAATGCTTGTTCATCTATCTTTCGAAGACTTACTCAATTGTATACTTCATTATTTGTTTATATCAGCGCCTTTGTGGCATTAATATTATGCCTATCCACATTGGTGTATATTAGATTTTATATTTCTTGTATAATGCATTTAATTGTTATAATTATATATTGTAAAATTCATTCAACATTCAAACATACAGAAAATTAGAAAATGTGGAAATTTGTCTTTATCGATAAAATGTGGATAATTAGAAAAATTGGCTGAATTATAATTTAACAATATTAGTAATCGGTACATTCTGGATACTTGAAATGTTTTCTGCTCGTATAAAGTTTATTGTCGTTAGATTTCGTGTTCATGTTCAAAAATCGGCCGAAAACCGCAGTTATAGAATCGTGTTTTTCGTCGATATAATTGTGTTGAACTTCCATGTTGAGGTCGAATGATTTTCCATATTGTATCAACTAGAAAATTAATTGATCAAAATTACTACAATTGTGATTTACCTATAGAAAGAAGATTAATTTACCTCGTTTCGACCTATAGTTTTAGGTATGTGCAGTGCTATGTTGGGAGCAATAATTCTCAGTAGGTCAAAGAGTTTTCTACCACCTCTTTCGTAGTCGTTATACATATATTTTTCAAGACTGTAAACTTCGTGTTTCTTAAACGAAGGACATCCCCATGAGGAAGACGTCACTATGACTTGTGGTCTATATTTTTTTAACGTTTCTGCAATCTCGAAGAAATCTCCATGTATAAATGTAATTTTGTCCCTGACTCCATAAATCTCTGCATTTCTTTTTGCGAATTCTAATTTTTTAGCATCGATATCAACAGCGATTACTCGTGTGTATCTCTTGGCCAATTGGATGACGTTTCCACCAGCACCACAAAACGGATCCATAGCGACGTTTATATCGGAGCATCTCAATGCTATATGTGTGCTTAAGATCTCGGGACAAGCAGAATAAAATGATTCAGAAAAAAAAACATTATCGTTAATAGTAAAATACTTAAGTTTGCTTAAAAAATTATTTTATTGCCATTGTCCATCATGATTACTAGGTCGAATTTAGAGAACAATAATTACCTCTTATCCCATAAATAATTTTTAATATCATTAGGAAGAGTTCTAGTAGCGATTTTATTGTTATTAGTATTTTCACGTCGTAAAGTTTTATTCTCTTTAGTCTTTTCTAAGACTAATTTTTTGATGTTTTAATAATTTCTGTTAATTTTTTAGACGGTTTTCTATTAAAGTTCTTAGAATTATTTATTAAAATGTTGTTTTCTTGAGTTGATATATTAATATTCCCCAGCAATATTTTAAACGGTTGAGTTGAAAGATTATTTTTTGACTGTGATATGTTCTTGTTAAAATAATTATTAGCTAATACGGAAGTAATCTGTAGTTGTGTTGGTCGGCTGTTTTTCAATTTGTATAACAATTTCTGAGTTCAGTTTTTTAATAGATTCAATTTCGTTATTCAGTAATAAAATGTTCGTGTAATGTGTTGTGATATTATTTTCTGGCCATATTATAGACGATGGGGTTCAAAGATTATTTTTCGACGATGTTTTGTCCAAGTGTAGTCAAATCCGGGCGAGTATTCATAATAGATTTTACTGTTTTATTTAAAGCTTTTTCTTTTTTGAAAGTTTCATTTCCGAAAAATTTTGCAGCGACACAAATGTCAGTGCAATAAACATGATATTTCTGACTATTTGAATTGGAATTATGAAATATATGACCAATGTCGTTATCACAAAAAAAAAAAAAATTCGAATCCATTTTTTTTTTATAAATGTATGCACTCAAAATTTGAAATTTTTAAGTTATACTTAGAAAAAAAATTAAGATTTAATAAGTTTTTAATATATGCGTACTAATTTATCACAAAAAAAAAAATACTTAAGCAAAAGATCACCAAACGGTGCCGACTGAATTATCATTGTTTATCCTATTTAAGCAAAAAAAAAGTCTTTTTTACTTTTATTTAAGCCAATGAATATAACAAACATTTTGACAATTGGCCAAAAATTATTAAATTTGTTTAATAAAATGTGTTATTTTATATATAAAATGTAATTAATATAAAGTTGCAAACCGTACCAATATATTCATTAAATAAAGCTACTGTCAATTACTTAAAAATTTATTATATCTTAAAAACCATTTCTATGAAACCAAGATTATAATTTCTTTTTTATAACACTTCTTCGATAATAACTAATTTGGTCAATATGTTACAATTGTTTTTATTCTGACGTACACGACATGTATAATTTGAAGAATATAAAATAAATATTGGCTGAAAAGAACCTATGGCGATCGTGAAATAACATATTTATCTTTGAATTAATGAAGAAATTTGTTTTAGCAACGTTATTTGTCGTTGGCTAAAAAAATGGAAAAAAATTAGTATAAACGATCAAGAAAACTAAAAATTCATTGAGACTTTTAGTCTAATAAGCGAACAAAGAATATATAAGCTTTGTGGAAGCCAATCAGTTTAGAAGTCTCTATTATATTTTTCTTATTTTTTTACTTTCATTTTTTTATCGAGTGAATTTTATTGACACGATGGACACTTTTTCTATTTTTTCGTCTATGGTGCTTGTTTATTTTTTTATTCCTATTTCAATTATTCAAGATCTCACTTTTAGTGGTATTTTAGTTTTAATATTTCTTATATTTTTGGACGACGAACTTTCTAAGCAGAATAAAACTACGAAGTCGAAAACTAAACTTATTAGTACATCAATTTTGACAACAGACATCAATACGACACCTATTTTGACAAATATTTTATCAGATCAAAAGTCTACAGATACATCCACACAAATTACGACCGACGGAAACATTTTTGAGAATTATACAATTCCATTGAAACTAACCTGAACAGTGTTTGTTTGAATATATCACACCCCCATCTTCCGAACAATGACTTTACCGACGATATTACCCTCTGCCATTTCCAAAAACGCTACAGAAGTGTGCGAGAACAACATTTTGACTCAAATAAGTCAATCGACTGAATCAGTTCAATCACATACACCAGATTCGTCATTTACAATTTACAAGTACCAATTCGCAAATTAAATATAACTTGGACAGTAATAGCTCCAATAAAACTAGCTCTCATGATATTCCAAAGCACTTATGGAATAAAAGACATTTCTTGTTTGAACAATTTGATGATGGAATTCTCTTGGACTATGGTAATTTAATTAATACTCTTTATTAATCTTTTATTTTTTTAATATTAACTATTATTTTAGAATCATTTTATTCCGTGTGCCCTGAAATTTTGAGCAAGCGTATTGCCAAGAGGTGTGAGGGTTACAATGTAGCGATGGACCCGTTTTGTGGTAACGTCTATCTTTAATGATAAATTCAGAAAAGTATACACATGTAATTTACATTTTTGGTGCTCACCAGTCATTTTTTTGCTATTATGTTTATTTATTATATATTTTCATTTTTTGATTTATTTTTTATTATGTATTAATTTTTTTTAATACTTTTCATACTAAAAAATTTAATTTTTTTACTATTATATGTGCCTTTGAATTTGTATTTATATTACAAAATTTTTATTTTATGGTTGTTATTCATAACTAACTTTTCTATTTGTTTTCTCAAAATTGAATAAATCATTGTTATTGTGTCTTAATAAATTATTCGTATTGTAAAATAGTTTTACTAATTCAAAAAATAATATATTAATTATTTTAAATGCAAAAATATAAAAATTCTTATTTTCAAATAAAAATTACGAAATTTTCTTGTTTATTTTAGTTAGTGACGTATATGAAATAGCAATAAACGAATTGTTTATATATAATTTGAATATTTTTTTTAAATTTAGAGTACTATAAGTACTATAGTTAAAAAAATATTTAGCCGTGGTATTGTCATCTATCTGCAAATGGCCGCCGTAGTTAAAACAATTTTATATTTTTAACATAAATCGCTATTATTATTTTAATATCATGTGCATTAGACAATTTTTTTTTATAAACATTTCATATATATTTTCTTTGACCTACTTTTTTTAGATATCAGATCATTCACCCTTATACAATAGGGTTCAACTTAAATCATACGAATAAAAAGTAGAAGTTTTTTGACTTGAAACTTATGTGACCTACAATAAGTTAAAAAAAAAATTAGACCCACGGAAAAACCAGAGCTGGCAGTCACTAGTCTAGTTTCCTCCTGAATAACTTCCCTGATTATTATATAAATTAATATTATATAATAAAAAAAATATAAAAAGTTTATATTAATGAATTTGTTAGCTGACATTTTATAATATGTGCAAGTTTTTTTTGTTAATTAAGAGTTGTATTTCCAAAATTTTAAAAGTTTCAAAAAATTTTAATTGATGTTACGATTTTAGGAACAAATTTTTTGTTAATTAAAATTATGAAAATTTAGAATTCTCTACCCATTTATTTTCTACGTCAAAAAGAATTTAGGAAAAAATACAAAAAACTCATTTACAACGATTATTATATTTTAGTAGTTAAAAGGAAAACTTAAACTTATTTACAATATTCAAAGTTGGTTTTCTTAAATAAGGTGAGGTAAAATATTCAAAATAAGTTTAAATGTATATTTAATGTAAGTTAGATTGATGTAACTTAACTAAAAATCTAAGGCTACATTATTATAGCAAACCCTTATAAGGTATTTTAAAACAAAATTTTAACATAACAATACAGTGTTTTTAAAAATAGAAGCTAAAATAAAGTCCGAAATTTTTTTTCCCATAATAAAATATATTATATTAGCTTTAATTTAAGATATATATAAAAGTGTCAGACTTTCCGGAACACTTTCAAAATTTAAGTTGAAAAAGTTAATTTTTTGTAAAAAAGTTGTCATTTTAAATCCTCCCCTGTGGGCAGATAAAGGGTAAAATTTACAAAAAAAATATACCAGATGATAGGTAAGGACATCAAGCATCTATAAAAAAAAATTATATTGTTATGTTCATTTTTTGAAAAAATTACGGCAGTTTTTAATAAAAAAAATTGAAAAAATGTCGAAAATTAGCGATTTTGAAATTTGTAATTTTTTTGGAGGTTTCCCCCATTTACGGGGAACGAGAGAAATTTTTTCAATGTTTGAGGGTAATGTTTTCGACTAGATACGATTTGTGATCTTTTGACGTATCGTTGAAAGAAATCCGTTCGGTGAGAGCTGAAAAAAAGTGGTAACCGATACAAAAAAAAAATAAAAAAAATAAACACATCTTAGTAAAACCAATACCTTCTCAGCTTCGCATCGAAGCTAAAAAATAATATTTTTGATTTATTTATAAACAAATTATGTCACTTAAGAAAAAAATTTTAAAATGTCAAAATTTACAGATATTTAAAATTATGGAATACCTGATTTAATTTCTCAAAAAGTATTTTATATTTATTATTTAAGACTATCTTTATTGTATGTTAATGATTAATTAATTATATGTAAAGGTTAGTTGATTATTATAAAAAGTATCTTTAGGATAGTGAAGAAAGTATTCTGTCCAAGCAGATAGTTTCTTTAAAAATTAGAAAAATACATTTGTTAAAAATACAAAAATTAATAAAACAAAAGAAGTTTATTACATTTATTTGAAATATAAATAGATAACAATTATAAAAATTAAAGCACTAAGAAAAAAATATTAAAAATTTCTATTTAAATAATTATTACAAAAGTATATTTGGCAAAATTTCTATGTCATCATCATAGAAATCTATATATCATGGGTAGCAATAAGATTTGTTCTCATGAACTTGTGTTATAACAGTTCGACTCCCATACATATCTTTCTTTTAATCAACTGCAGAAAAGGATTCGTGTTAATATCATAAACTTGTTNCATACATATCTTTCTTTTAATCAACTTCAGAAAAGGATTCATGTTAATATCATAAACTTGTTGTTCTTCATAATGGCCGTTGTGAGGACTTGAACTAGGAGTCAAGTTCATTTGAATATTTTCCTGCGACTTTGCAGTATTCATACAACATCAAACATAAGTTTTGTCTTCGTCATCTAAAGTAAGATCTATGTAATTTGCAAAACTTAGTATATAAGATTCGAGAATATAGTTATACATCATTTATTCACCTTGATGCGTATCAATATAGTATCCTATAGATGATGTTTTATTTTTTGTAAAGTTAGAACTTGACTGTATCAACAGCTATTTGATGATTATTACGGATATTGACAGCTAGAAAAAAATTAAGATATCTCAGATAGTAGCGAGGTTTAATCAAATTTTAGTTGAAAATTAAGTGTTAATTTTATTAGGTGATAAATGATGCATAATAGAACATATGAATTGGACATTATCTCGTAAGGGAATAGTTATTAAAATAAATTATATTTAAATTTAGTACAATATTTAATTTAATATGATGCTACGTAATATTTTTTGATAAATTGTGATTATGCTCAAATTAATAAATATAAAGTACATAATAATACTGCAGTAATTATTGAAAATTATACCATTTTAATTTATATTAAACATAGAACAAAATAGTTTTTATTTCTATTGTCTTGCTCTGTAAAATAGAAGTATATAATATTTAAAAAAATATACTCAATAGGATTGTGAAATATTTTTCTTTCTTTAGATTTTTGGACCTCCGATGTCTCAGACTTTTTTCTTTTCTAGCCAGAGAGTTTATTTTGACCAGGTATAGTTTTTAATAAAGCGGCATTAAGACCCACTTTATGTTTGCTTTAAAATAAACACAGTTATGTTATAAGCTTTCAAAAATATGTATTATTATTTGATTTAATTTTTAATTGTCATTAAAATATTTTAAGATTCTTGTCCTTAATTTCTTTAAACATTATCTTTAAATACTATACATAAAAATGACTATTGTATTTATCCGAAGAAAAATATTGATAAAATAATTCTTATATATTGAAATAATGTTCTCTTTCTTTGGTAATTTGCGTAATTTCTTTTTTAAGCCTCGTCCCATAAATTTATGTTGAAGATAAATTAATACCGTAAATATCTTTAGTATAATCATAGTTTGTTTAAATTTTACTAAGAATTAAATAGTTTTGAATTTCATACACTAAAGTTTTATAACTTTTGAAGTAACTATTCTGTGTTTTATAATTTTATAAGTATTTTTTGTTACTTATTTTAAGAAAGATAATAATAAAATTACTTTTGACGTCGGCCATTCTTTTTCTTATAATCTAAAAAATGTAACTTTAAAATTTGAATTAGCTTAAATTAAGTAAAATTAAAACTATATTAAAAATATTATTAGCTTAAATTGTCAATTTTATCAACTGATGAAAGCGACGAACAATTGCCGTATGGTAACACTTGTGTCTATCACGCTTAGTGGGTACGAAGTTCAAATCCGTCTGTGATAATTAAATTTTCGAAGTTTTTCCTTAATTATTTTTGAGTTAGAAAAAAATGTTTAAATTATTAGATTTTCATCTCATTTTGATATAATAATTTCAATGAGATTAAGGTTTCCATTACTGTAGTCTCCTCTCGTGAGAAGAAATTACTTATTCATGTTAATATTACTTAACTATGTGTTTTTTTTGTGGTTGCGATTTATTTTCTCAACCCTTACTTGACCTAGTTTTTTCAACGATATGTCAAATGATTACAATTCGTATATAGTTGAAAATATTACAATCAAAAATTGAAAATCCCTTAATCAAATAAGAAGTAGCTTAACCAGCTTTCTCCATACAAACAATTAAAATCATTCATTTCTATAATTTTTTAAATATTTATTGTCGAATTAAAAGCGTATTTAAAAATTCAAAAATTACATTTTTGAATTGACAATTTTTTTTAATGACTTTAAGCTGTTAGGAACAAAAAGGTCATCAAAATATCATATATGTTGACATTTTTATACACATGGCTATATGAAAGGCACAATAACATCCATTAGTTTTTTCTTTTATATATAATAATTATAATAGTTATTCAATTTACAAATAATGTCGAAATATATGTGTAATAAATACTTTTGTATCCATTGAAACAGTGAAAACTATTACAATTTTTGTTAGATACCAATTTGTTTATAACAGTATGTTGTCAAATCTTTCAATTGGCGTTTTGTATTCGATGGTTCTTATATTTTCTGCTATATTTCTAATGTTTTAAGTATATACCTACACAATAAAATTTTTAATTAGCTTAGAAATTATTATCATAATTCTTAATTAATCTAAACGGTACTCTACTACTATTACGAAGTGAATCCAAGCATTCCATTTGTAAGTGGTATAATTTGGCGATTTATTTCTTTAAAACGAAGAAAGCTTTTTTAGAGATTTAAATAATTTACAATTATTAATTAAAGTTTCATTTGTTTATAAACATTTTTAAACATTTTAGAAACGTGAAATAAAAAGTACACTAAGACAATGAAAAAGAATCGCGTGAGAAGTATTCATATGAATTTGAACTGAGAAAATAATTTGAGAAATAAAAATATATTAACAAACCAAGAAGAAAATCTTGCACCAAATGAAATTAATGAAATCGAAGAAAGCTTTCTTAAGACTATAAGAAAAAGAATGGCCGACATCAAAAGTAATTTTTGATCTTAGTAGTAAGAATATGTCATAAACATCTAAAAATATTTCATATCAATTAATTTATTATAACATGTAATTTTAAACAAGAATAAATAACTTTTAGTAAAAAATTGGCATTTTAAGCTAAATCAAACTTTAAAGTTACTTATAAAAAAAAAATTTTTAAATAAATTTAACTTTATATTCTATGTCAATTAATGCGTAATATAAGCTTTAATTTGACATATGTTTAAAGGACGCAGTATATCCAAAACATTTTCAAAAGTTAAGTTGAAAAAATTCTAATTTTTAACGTATGTTTTAAGTTTTGAACGCTCCTGTATATAGAAAAAATGTATTACTTACTATTAACTTAATTACTATGTTTATGGGGATATTTCTTTCGTTCTTTTGTACGGTTGGTTGTGGTTAATTAATGAAATTAAATTAAAATATGTATCTTGATTTTCTAATCACATAATATCAAAAATTGACAAAGAAAATTGGAATAACAATCTTTTTCTTTTACTTCGCTAAATCCTAAGTATTTGAAGTCGACCACCATTATGTTAAACTTCCACTTAACGTGATCTCCTACATCATCTACGCTCAAATCAGCCATCCTCATCGCATTCAATAACACCCTTTCATCTCTTTTTTGATTTTCTTCTACCTCTTCCTACTTCAACATTCATTTCTATAACCGTACTAACAGCTTTCGATTCTCAATTCTTTTTATTAGACTTGCTTGAGTATATTACTTTATAACCCTAACCTATTTCCCTCGATTACTCTCCTTTCCACTTAGTTTCCTGCATACAACAAATATTAACTTTTCTCCACTTTAATACTTTTACTAATTATCTACTTCTACCAGTTAGTATTCCAACATTTCACGTATCTATTCTTATTTTGTATTTATATTTCTCCCTTATACATGAGTCCACCCTAGAGTACAGTGTTGATGTTCCTATTCCATTGACAGTACAAGTGTTAGGTTGACCTGTACACATGACTGGTGAAATAGCTACCGCACAAATTGTCTGGCTGTTATCTAACACTGTATTCCTCAGACCTTCTCCGTTTTTACTACTTTATTTCCTCTCACTTATAGTCCCGCATATGCCCGATTTAGACCATCCGCCTACGATTTATTCAGGACTCCTCATACTTTTTGACAAAATTTTACGCCGGCTTTCGACCTGACGCAACCTCATTAGCGCCTCTTATGATTGGCAGAGGACCGTGGAAGTATTCTTATCTCCTATTTACAGGGACTAAAATTGAAATAACAATAGTTATTTAATTTTCTACAGAAAAATTATATTGGAGCATATCTAGTCAAATGGGCTGTAAAATGGCTATATTTGTAACAATAGCATAAATAACATAAAATGTATAAGTTTTAACATCTATCTAATATCAGTAGTATTTGAACTATATTATCAGTCACAAATTCTACCCTCTATGGCAGACAAAATCTCTTTAATCTCTATGGTCATTTATAATTTTTTTTTTTTTATTCTAAATAATGTAAAATGATTACACTTAGCACAAAAAAACTATGTTATTTTTAGTAGTTCACTTAAAGACAGAAGATATTTATAATACAAAATATTTACTATACTAAAAAAAAAATCACTATTAGTGGTGAGTCAAACCTATTTAGTGAAATTTTTATAAATTAATTACAGATTAACAAATATATTCTAAAATTTGGTTAAAGCCTAATCATACTTAAATAACTTTGGAACACAAAACATACATTTCAACAATTTAATTACATTTTTTGTAATTTCATAATTTATAATTCTGTTTTCTTTACATTTTTGTGTCGAATTAACAAATTTCTGTTGTTAAATAATCATAATGGGTAACATTTTTTCTTTAAAGTCTCTTATCGTAGCTAAAACAGAACAAAAAAATTCTTGTGACAACAAAACAATCGATTTCGACGGGAAAAAGTTTCATCAGTTTGTGAGCGAATCTTGTACTGAACTTAGATTTAAAAATAACTCCAAGGAGAGACAAATAGAACAAGGTGTACATGTGACGTTTATACAACCAGTACCTGAATTCACTATAGAAACTTATATGAAACATATTACTACAAAATCTCAAGTTAAAGTATTTATTAATGTATGTTACAGTGATGATATTGATAAAATTACTTGTACATTTGATGGCGACAATGACTATTGGTCTAGTTATGACTGCATTTCATCTCAATGTCTAGTTTATGATAAATCAAATAATTTTTTTTACGTATATAATATAGTTTTTCACACTGATTTTGTACTTCCGACCAAAGTCAAAGATCATTTCAAACATTTTGTTAGAGATGTAGCTCTTAAATCTATCGAAGATAATTTTAATGTATTTTTAGATAGGAGTAATCTAAAATACTCGAAAAAATGTTTTAATTTTATCATGAAACCAATAGAAACTAGATTAAAACTTCACCACTTGAAAAGTGTTCAAAAGCCCCTTGTTAGCTCTGCTACTTCAACTCGCCAAGATAATTTTACACAAACAGTCGACTTAAATGATTTTAAAGAAAAGTCAGTGATTAATACGCCAGTATTTGAAATGAATTATTGTTTAGGTGCCAATATTCAAACTATGAATAGGGAAATATTTAGTAATATATCTTATTCAAATCCAGATGAAATCATTATTGAAATTGTTTTGCCATTATTGGAAAATTCAGAAAATATTGATCTAAAAATTTTAAATAATGTTCTTAAACTAGTATCCAAAAATCCAGCATGTTATAAGTTAAATATTGACTTGCCTTATACTGTTTCAGTGGAAAAATGTAACGGATTATTTGATACTGATACGAAAAAGCTTGTCATACGACTACCTGTCTTAAGTAATCAGTCATTAAAAAATGACGATGGCACAAATGCTATAGTTACCAATTGGAGTGAAAAATCAAAAATAGAAAGCACTAAGAAAAATAACAATATCGAAAATTCTAAAAAATCTGAAAGTGAAATTAACAGAAATGAATCATTATTGAAATACATTGAAAAACAAAATAAAGACTCTGGTGATAAAATTGTGATAAACTACAAAGAAAATAATCTTTTGGGCATTAATATTGGTTCTAGTGAAATTGTTATTGAAAGTTCTGAAAGTGACACAAGACTGACAAAAAGTTATTTAGAAAATGAACCTACTAAAAATTCAGATACCAAAACTAAGACACCATATAATTTTTCTACTGTATCTAATTCAGCCACTAAAGTGAGTAATATTCATTAAATATTTAAACAATTAATATGTATTATGATTCCTGAAACAATATGCATTTTTCCTTCGTCAACTGATTATTGTTGTTACATTATAAATAGTTTATAATAATAATGTATATTGATAATCTCATTCTAATTATTTTTTTTGTAGCAAGGAATTCTTAAAAAAAATGCAAATTATAATGATAATTTAGCAAAAAATATAGCCAATATTAGATTAATGGGTACATATCAAGAGAAGTCTGTACGATTTCATAAAAATATTGAAGTGAAACACTTTAAGTATGTTTTAATTTGAAAATAATCATTTATTATTTTTATATAATAAAAATTGATCACTTGTGACTAATAATATTTAAAATAAGAAATATACAGAAATATCAATTTAGAACTAAAAAATATTTAACTCAAAAAGCCACAAAAATACTACTAGGTGTATATAATCAAGTTTTTTTCAATCGGCGTTGGGTTGGGTTCATTATGTGCTTAGTATTGATAATGATAATATTTTTCCGATATAGATATCCCCATATTTTCAGTAATTTTTATGGATTTTTGAGTTAAATATTTTTCATACTTTTTAGTTTGAAATTAATATTTTTAATAATAAAATTTTAGTTTTTAACTATTATGATTAATATTTGTATATCGATTAATAATAAGACCAAATAAATTTTAAAAAAAATTTTAAAATGGAATATTAATCAATAAGCTAACATTGAATTAAATCAAAAGAAATATGTTTTTTAATTTGATAATCACAACATTTATCACATTAAAATATCAAAAATATTTAAAGTTATAAAATTAAAGTTAAAATATTAAATCCTTTCTATAAAGGAGACATTCAGAATATTTTGTAAGTTATTCTTTTTATAGTTTCAAATTTACAACATTAAAGGAAAGAAACACTTTATGTTATAACTTAATTAAAGATCCAATTTTTGTTTTATTTTTTAGCTGTAATTTGAGTTTAACAAAACAAGTAAAAAAATATCAATGGCGTCGTCAAAATTATAATTGGACGAAGTATTAAATAAACTTGTAGCCAAAATGTAGTATTTAATCAAAGTTGTTGTATTTTTGATAATTTAAACAATTTGTATTTTTGATATTAATTTCTTATTGTTTTAAAAGTATTTTTTTATTTTTATCTTTTTTTATGAATATCCAATTTTGTTTTTACAATAAACACATATGATACATGAAAACTATTTTTTATTAATAATTTAAATGTTTGGTAAAGATAAGTAATTAATTATTTTAAAAGTAAAAATGTATAATATAAATTCAATGAAACATTTATAAAACATGGACAAATTTTTTTACTGCTATTTTAACAAAAAAAAAAAAAATTCGAGACTAAATCAATTGTTTATTTTTAATTAATAAATACGAGCACAATTAGCATATGAAAATTTAGAACATAAATAAATGAATTAATTTTTTTTTTTGAGAAAGAGAGAAGATGATAAAGTAATCTAGTAAAGAAGTTTCCTCTTGGCCTTATATCCTTATTGATATTTTGATTGTATTTGGATACTTAAGAAGCCATAGAAATATTTAAATTTTAAAGAATCCATAGGAAAGCTCATAATTTAAAGAAGCCATAAAAATGTTTACATTTAAGGAAGCCATAAAAATAATCAACATTTGAAGAAGCCATTTAAGTGCTTAAATTTTAAAGAAGCCATAGAAATGTTCAAATTTTAAAGAAGCCATAGGAAAGCTCATAATTTAAAGAGCCATAAAAATGTTTACATTTAAGGAAGCGATAAAAAAATTAAACATTTGAAGAAGCCATATAAGTGCTTAAATTTTAAAGAAGCCATAAAAATGTTTAAATTTAAGGAAGCCATAGAAATATTCAATTTTTTTAAGAAGCTTTTGAAATGCTTAAATAAAATATCATTGTTTTTTACTTTTTATATTATTATGAAATCATATAAGTCATAGACATTCCCAAACCTAATTTGACATAGTCAAACCTAACCCAACTTCATCTATTAAGCTGAGTTTATATTATTTTTAATGTTATTTATTATTTGTTTAATAAAAGTTAACTATTTTGTTTTATGCCACTTCGCCGGCTATGAGTATTTAAGGTCGCCCCGTTACCCCTTAAATTTAAGATATTCTTTTAAGAACTTCTAATATATGTGGTTATTTAGTTAATTATTATGCACTCTCGTTACTTATTGGATGTACCGTTAGCTGTCATCCCTCAGATGACCCACTCCCTCTTCAATTAAAGCGATTTAAACAGACTTAAGTTAAAACGGAATTTTAGTGCAATGCACAGCTAGCCGTCCTATGGTCTAGCTGCCTCCTACGAAACAGATATACAAATAATTTCGGATATTAAACCAAAGATATTGAATATTTTATCTTACGATTTTATCTGTAATATTAAAACATATCAGTTATAATTCAGCAGTGAATATCTCAAAATTCAAAAAAAAATTTTTCACTAATAATCAAAAAAGTGCTTCTGAAATTTATTTTTTCTATACAGGAGGATCAGTTTATTACAACACACGCTATTACTCGCAAAATGTATACAATATTTAAAAAATACAATTTTTAATTTTTTAGTAGCATAATTTTTTTAATATGTCAGTTATAAATGAATTTTTCACATCATCCCTTATAACATAGTGTAATAAATCAACAAGCGAGTGTCCCCCGAAGCGACTAAACCAATTATGTAAAAACGGTAATAATTAGTTATTTTATCTCTCAAAATTTTTTTCTTAAAATTTATTTGGTGGGTAATAAAGCTTATAATATTTCCTGTTCCTTTTTTCATCCATTGAACTTTCATTTATACTTTGTGTGTCGTATACGAATTATAAATAATATTACTATTTTAATAAAACTTTCTTATATATTGTGTTTATTAATAATAAATGTGTTAATAACCTTTGTGTTATTTAATCATTCATCTTAGTGGACTAAATATTCTTATAGGATAACATATTTCGAAAACTTGATATGAGCCATCACGAGTATAGTAAAATACAACCTCCTTTCCTTTAAGCGTAACTTTATAATAATCTCTTTCCTATGTTTTCTCTTGTAAAGAGTTCAAATTTTTAGTCAAACTACCTACATCTATTTTAGTGTTTATATATGAACCATTTTGTGCGCTAAAGGTGGTAATCTTGTCATTATATCGTTAAAGTAAATGACATAAACATTAATTTTATGCATAACAAAAAATATGAACAAATTATTAAGTTAAGTTTTTACAATGATTTTTTATGAAACTCTTATTGTACAAAGAGTAATTGTTGGATTTACAAAACAAATATAACAATATATAGATAAACGTTTAATGTATTGTAAATAAATATAATATTTATTTGAATGAAGATTTGTTAAAGTAATAATATTATGAAATAATAATACATATTAAGTAAAAATGTATTATTAAATTGCCACACTTATATTTGTATGGAATGTACATATTATAAGTAATAAAACATTTTAATTCTCATGGAAACATTCATTTGTTATTATTTTTTTATAGTAGTTAAATATATCTATAGAATAAAATATAGTTAAATATATTGTACAATGAATATTATTAAATTGTTTAATATATATTAATAACAAATTATTTATAAAATTTTAGAATCTTCAATTATATCAAAATTATCAACTGAAAATGATGTTTTCAGAAATTATGTTTATATTTTTTCACTTGGCACAAAAAGAACTAATTTTGTCGAGTACGCAGTTGTCGAAAAAATTATTGTCGTAAAAGTTAAAAAAGTTAAATGAAAATTGAATTAATTAAAGAAAAGTAAATTCTCAAATTTCAAGAATAATCGAGTAATTTATGAATAAATGAACACCTTGTATAGAGCATGCCTTACGACTACACTTATCTGGATATCACTAAGATGTAAATTTCGATATGAAATATTTATTTATTATATTTTTATTGTATTTAAAATGGCCTTGGAATCAAAACAAAAATATGTTGTGAAGAAGATTTTGAAAATGCCCCAATGGTTATTTAAAATGATGAAATTAAAATATTAGCCTTAATAAATGTAATGTTTGTATCTTAATCGATTAATAATGTGAACAATATTCACAAGTAAATATATTTTAATACAATGATAATGATCATTTTATATGATTGCAAAAAAAAACGTAGAAAAAAATGATGACACATCAAAATGTGGATAAGATTAACAAAAATGATGTGCTTAGTACAAAACAAAACAAAATAATAGACGTGTAATCTTTAAAATTTAAATTATCATTTAATGATTTATTCTAAATTACTTGGTAGGCCAATGCGGTTCAAAAAGATTTTATGGTACCTAAGAACATTACAATATTCAATAAAAATAATTCTGTCGATATTTTCAAATCTGTCACGTAATTTCAAACACTGTGAAATTAATTTGACTTTTGTATCCAATTGAGATAATTTGTTTGGTAAATTTTCAATGGCAAGAGAGAATTGTTCTGATACTTAATATTGACCACAACCGGTACGTTCTATTAGTATCTACAAAGTAATTTTCAGTGACCTAATCTTATCAAGTATACCTTTAACGATGTCGTATAATATATTAGAAAGACCTTCAAAAAGCGAATCATGTTTAAAATATCAATTTCATGAAGCTCATTTGGTGCAAGATTTTATTTTAGCTTTGTTGCTGTTCACTGATTTTTATATTTCCTAAATGATTTTTGCTGACCAAATTCTGTAGAGTATTTTTCCCGCGATATTTTTACTGATCTGATCAAGGACGCGAGAATACTTTTTACTTCTTGTTTCTAAATTGTTTAAACGTTTAACGATAGTTTTTTTATAATTGATTGACATAGTAAACAGGTAAAACTTTAAATTATAATTGTATAAATCTATAAAAATAAATTGCTTTAACTGAATTCAAAACAGTGTTTATTAAACTTTAAAAATTAAATTATTAAATTATTTAACTTTTAAAATAATATTACGTTACATAAACTTGGGAAGATGGACCAAAACTGATTGTTGTAGTTTGAAAGTATTAAAATAAACATGTATTTATTGATATTCGAAAGTTTAGTGGTCGCTATTGTTATGGAACAAATTTAGTTAAAACTGTATTTTTTTTAAAAATAATTGCCAAATTTTGATATTGATTTTTTTTGTATAAATTTTTATACTTTTTAAGATTTATACCAATTATGTACATTTTTTAATTTGACACGATAATTAAAAGTATATTAAACATTTTTTTTTGTCATCATTTTTATATGAGAAAAATAAAAAGTTGTTTTTGTAAAATGTTATTATTTTTTTTACAACAATTTCTTGAAAAATTCAGTAGATAAAATGTTTTATAATAGGCACTCAAGATACCTGCGCTTAGGGAATACAGAGTATTTTGGGGTCTTGGATTGAAAAAATATATATATATGCATTACACTGGACTCGCCTATTAGTAATTTGAAAAAATAATATTCAATAATATGTTTTTTTTTATGTATAATTTTGACAAAAAAAATTAATTTTTGTACAACGCCCTTACTCCAAGAAAATAGTTCTTTTTCTACGGATGTCAGTGTAACTTTACTACAGCATTCGCATTTGCAAATTTTAGACTTTAACTAGATTAAATCTGTTGGAAATTTATATAGTTAAATAATTTAATGTGTTCAATTCATTAATAATACAATTTAGAAAATAAGATCATCTTTGTAGTAGTATAAACACATAAAATCTTCTTTTTTCTTGCCTTACTCCCAACTACTCGAGTTCAACCAAAATAAAAACACAATAAATACTTAAAATACTAACAACCTTTTTATATATTTATTTCAAAGCTTTTGACTATGTTTGACCTGTTATTTTTAATTAAAAAAATATATATTTAGTATTTTTATTACTATTTAAATTAGAAAAATAAAACAAATAATTTTCACGACACCAACTCTGTATAATTTGGTTTTCCATCATCGGAAAACTTCTTGATGCAGTTAAATCTGTTAATATAAATTTTTTATAATGACTCATTCTTACGAAGTTTGCAATTGTAATAGTCATGTAAAATAAATCATTTTTGAGTACAAATTTAAATTTATCCACATAAAAAATAATATTCATTTTTAATTATAATTACCACAATGAAAAAATCAAACGCAAAAATTTAGTAAAATCTATAATTTATATGCTATTTAGTATTTTGATAAAAAAATTAAAGAGTTCGATAACTTATGTATGTAATATTTTACAATTAATTGTATAGAAATGATATATGACCTTATAAGAAATAGAAATTATAATTAAATTATACTGAACGAGGGACTGGTAGATTTAATTAGTGAGAAAGAGGTACAAGAGGCTGTAGCATCAATGAAAAAGAATAAAGCAGTTGGACCAGATGAAGTCCCAGTAGAAGTATGAAAAATATTAGATGGCGTTGATTTAAGGTGGTTGAAGAATCTTTTTGATAAAATCTTATTAGAAGGGAAAATATCATAATAATGGAGTATTGTGATACCGATATTTAAAAGTGAATAAAAGAAACATACAGGAGTATGGAAATTATAGAGACATAAAGCTTATGAGTCGTAGTATAAAGATTTGACTAAAGGTAATAGATAAGAGAATAAGAAATGAGACATCGGTTATCTAATAACTAGTTTGGATTTATGCCTAATAAGTCAACAATAGAGCCATTATTTTGTGTAAGACAACTAACAGAAAAGTCTAAGGAAAAGAAGAAAAAGCTGTGTATGGTATTTATAAATTTGAAGAAAGCGTATTATAGAGTACCGAAACAGGTTTTAAAAAGGGCGTTAATGTAAAAAAAGTCCCGAAAAAGTATATTAATATAATAAAGAATATGTATGATAGCACTTGTACCATATTAAAAAGTGTAAGAGGAGTAACAGAAGGTTATAAGGTAATAGTAGGGGTGCACCAAGGTTCGGTTTTAAGCCCTTATTAGGTTCGATGCGAAGCTGAGAAAGTATTAATTGTACTATGATAAGTATTATTTTGTATCTGTTACCACTTTATCTCAGCTCTCACTGAACCGATTTCTTTCAACGATACGTCAAAAGATCACAAATTGTATCTAGTCGAGGAAATTACCCTCAAAAGTTGAAAAAATTTCCATTGTTCCCCGTAAATGGGGGAAATTACAAAAAAAATACAAATTTAAAAATCGGTAACTTTTGACATTTCTTCAATATTTTTAAATTAAAACTGCCATAATTTTTTTTAAAATGACCAAATTAATATAATTCTTTTTGTATATAGATGAACGATGTCTTTACCTATCATTTGATATATTTTTTTTATAAATTTGACCCTTTACCTGCCCACAAGAAAGGTATTCCAAATGAAAACTTTTTCACAAAAAATTTACTTTTTCAACTTAAGTTTTGAAAGTGTTCCGGAAAGTCTGACACTTATATATATATATTAAATTAAAGTTAATGTAATATACTTTATCATGAAAAAAAAAAATTTGGACTTTATTTTGTCTTCACAGTGAAAATGGCTACCGAATTCTATTTTTGTGTGAAAATACTCGATTTTATATTTTACATTTTTAACTTTATTATGCTATAACTTTTTAAAAAATGTATGGATCAATACAATTTTTTCATAAGAAGTAGTATTTATATCTCTATTTCATTCGACATACTTTTTTTTTTTTAAATAACACTATTTCCCTATATATATATTATTAATCATATAAATATTTTAATTAATTTTTTACAGCTTGTTATAGATAATATACAAAAATTTAGTTCTTTTTAATTGCTTTTGACTATGTTTGGGAACACTTTTAAAAATGATTCCATAAAAATTTCTCAGGCTTTTTATAAATTTATATATATTATACTTATAAATCATAAAACTTGTAATTAGGATATAAATAAGGAAATAGGAAATCATGTAGCTTTTGGAATACTCGACCAATACAATAAATTTGACAGTATTTATTTCACTATTATAAATATCGCTTCAATGAAAATCTGTTAATGGTGTTTAATTCTAAGAATATATTTTTAATTTATTTATTTTTAAATACAATTTAACAACAAAAATGTTGTATCTTTGTATATTACTTTTCTAATATTACTATAGTATAGAATATAATAAGCTAGAATAAAAAAAAAAAGAGATTGATATTTCTGTCCACCGTTTGGTAATTATAATTTCATGTATAAAATTAAAACTGTAATTTTACATAAGCCATTGGTATATTAATTATTTTTTTTATAAAAATCAGCCCATTTCTTTTTACATATTTATTGTATGTACATTAAAAGCTTCAAAAAACCTCCCTAAAAGTATATGTAATTAAAACTTAAATTGTATTTATTATAATTTAAATAGATTAAATGGAGTACTTGCCGTCTCCTATATACTTATATTATTTAACCTAAAGTATAAGCATAAATAATTGAAAAAAAATGAAGGAGAAATTTGTAACAACACTAAAAACGATATTTTTTACACAAAACTTTGGAGGCTTTTTAAAAATACAAGTCAATTCATTATAAAAAAAAAAATTTTTTAACTTAAATACGTAATAATAGCTTTAATTTATCATATGATAAAAAGAAGCAGTATTTTCATAACAATTCCTAAAGTTGAAAAGATTAACATTTCACACAAAAGTGAATTACCCAATGTATTTATAAAAAAAGTTTTGAAAATATCGAAATATAATGATTTCAAAAATCGTAAGTTTTGGGAAAATTCCCCAATTTACAAGGAACAAGGAAATTTTTTTCAATCTTCCAGAATAGTAACATTAACCAGATAAATTTTGTGATATTTTAACATGTCATTGGTAAAAATTAGTCCGGTATAGGTAATAACTGGCAACAGAAAAAAAATAATATGTACATAGTAAAATTATTACATTCACGGCTTTGCCTGAAGCTAAAAAACAACAACAAAAATCTGTGATCTTGGAAAAATGGTTATAATTTATTATAAACCGTTCTCATAATCTCAATCAAAATAAAATTACAAAGTTTTAGATACCCATAACTTTAAATATATTAGTAAAAAACATTTAATTAAACCTTGGTTTTATACATTTTTTTGTCATTTATAGATTAAATTGAAAACAAAAATATTGTTTCAAGTCATAATATAAATTATTAAATTTAATAAAATTGGTACTTTTTATGTGCACATAAGTGTGGTTCTATTAATAGTTCAATCTAGAAAACTAGTTGCAAATATTGATCACTTGGTGATATCTTAAAAAAATAGTAATAATTAATTAATCGAAATTATCCCTGACATGCCTAAATACCTGTCATGTAGATTGTTTAACTGTTAGTTTTACTCAGTTCATGAAAAAATTACAAAATTGCAGTAAATAATCCAATATAAGCAATTTTCTCTTATTAATATAAAATATGCTATCAATAAATTTATTATTCGAGTTATAATATATAATGTTTAAGTTTTGTTTAGTTACACGTTTTTTCGTTTGATGCTAGTTCTGAAACAGACGATTGCAACGTTATTACATTAATACATCCGACCAAAATTTTTTTTGTATCAAAAAATTCAAATTTTAATTTCCAGCATCCAATGGGAACTAATGGTCGTAACATGGGTGGCACTTGACTTTTAGTAATTATTTGATCACTCTGTAAATTTACAGTTATAATTATAGACAATTATCTAATATATATATAAGAATAAGTAATATTTATACTTATTAAGTATATAATAAGAAGTGACAGACAAGAAAAACAAACCCATCATAGTAAAATTAATATCTATTCAGCTTCGCGTCGAAGCTAAAATTCAAATTTTTCAATTTCAACTACTTCTTTGGAGGGATTTTTCATAATTTAAGGAAAATATTTTTAACTTCTTAGTGATTTTTGGATGATTTGATAAACAAAATTGTTTCAGTATAAATAATGAAGTATTAAAAAAAAAAAACAGAATCGTTGTAGAAAAACCATTATTTTTCAAGATCGTGATTAAATTTTAGACTTATAGATAAATAATAAATTGATCAATTTGATAGTAATTTTTTATTGACTAATTATAGTCAATAGAAATTAAGATTAAAAATTGCGATTAAAAGTGTCTTAAATTTTTTCGATTGGAGAATGAAAATGTAACTAAACAAAACACTTAAATGAAAAAAGACAAAAAAACTATTAATAATAATTTCTCAGTTAACATTTAAAAATCCAAAAATACTCGGATAAAAGAAATTTATAGCAGAAATAAGGTCAAATTTATGTACTCTTCATATTAGTAAAATTGTCTTTGTCAACGTACTTTTTCCATTGGACATTCTTTTGGAAGGGAAACAAATTTTTGTATGATAGGTAATATTGCTATGTCTTGCTTCAAAAATTTACATAAATCCACTGTTTTTTCAGACAACGTTCGTAAATAATCCCAATTTTCTTTTTTTTTCATATAAACTGCTGGTTTAATCTATAATCCCAATTATATTTCATTATTAAATAGTATTTTGTTGTTATTAACTAACTCAAAAAAATACAACTGAAATTTTTTTATTGTTAAATTATACTTTTATTTACATTAAAATTTAAAAAAAAATTCATTTTTTTAATCAACTAAACAAAAAAGTGTCAGATATATATTTTGATAGTAAATCTATTAATTTTACAAGGGTCTTTTGTTATATAAAGTAATTTTTTAGGGTTGGGCACTGAACTCAACTAAATGATCATATAAATGACTCCGAAGTAAATTATGTTATTACACTGATTTATGACAATATCATTATATTGTATAAAGTTTCGTAACATTCACCAAGTTAAAACAATAAGGACTACGTGATACGACAAAATAAAATAAAAATACTTAATAAACTAGCAATTTTACCAATAGATTAATTATTATATTACTATATTTCAGATTATATATTGCATTGTTTATTATTTAAATGAGTCTAAATTCTGATGGTTTAATTAAGAACATGGTAAGAACACTAATTGGTGATTAATTATTATTAAGTAATCATTGGGTAAGTATCAAAATTATATCTTCCTATTTATTTTTACTTTAAATCACAAAAATGAATACATTTTTTAATTTATAAAATAAGTGGTACAAAATAATAACAAGACTTATATTAAATAATTTGTAGAAAATAATAATTATTTTGCAATTATTGCAAAATAACTGTGATACTATAGTAGTCGATAGATTAGTTATTGTTTATCGATAATTTATCTAGAAACATTATTATAAGTACACAAAATAGCCGTCTTCGACCATAATCAGCCAACTAAAGGCAATAAGCATACCGTATATTGAGTTCAGTGAGTTGGGGAGAAAATATAATTAGCAAGATTAAAAGTTTTATTTTAGTTGCGCTTGTGGTGCGGTTGAATGATAAATAGAAAATTTAACATTTTTAGATCTTAAAATTGTATTTGAGTAAAAATACATAATAATACATGATATAATTTTAAATGACTTTTATGATAATGATTTCAAAATTGCAGCTTAATAATAAATTAAAATCTTCACACTTTGAGTACAGAAAAAATTAGTTACCGTTATATTCATAGTTGGTGTTATATCTTTGTAGACAATAAAGCGATTCGTCTCATTTATGTAAGGTGATGAATTGTTAAAGTTAGCGTCAACTAAAACAACATGTCTGTCTTTCATGCAACTTATCACTTTAACTAAACGATAGATATATAATGCCTTGAATCAAAATAAATAAAAATTAATTAGAGTAAGTTGAAGATTTTTTAGATTAGTATTTGTTGATATCTAACAGTGATGAAAACCAATGTCGTAAAACGTTTCAATGAATACTCAAAACAATTTTTTTAAATATTAATCATATTTATCAAAATTAATACGAATTAATTTTTTAATAATTAATTTTACACAATATACTGATTTCACGTAGAGATAAAATTATCGGTACGTTTTTCTTTATTATGTATAATATTAAACTTTTATTTGAAATACTTTGGATAATACAAATATTCCATAAACATGCAAAACACTACGAAATCAGCCATTTTTGCTGAAAAATCTTTGGCTTTAATGTCCAAACTCCTAGAAATCTCGATTTCTGATAGTTTTTTTTTTTTTAATTAATTTTTGTGTTCAATTAATATTTTTAACAACTTCAGGCAGTCCCTCAACACATTTAGTTAATTTTTTTGTGTTATCTTACTTGAGTTTTACTGACGCATTGAAAATATCCAAACGTGATTAGCATATAAATGATTTTCATTATATTAATTATTTTTTAAATATTTATTTAGTACTTAACAAGTCTTAAAAAATAGTACGAGCGATTTAACTTACTAATTCAAAATGCACAAAGTTAAGTGCCAACATTTGTTTCACAGTTTAACAAATATTTTTTTGTTTTATTTTTAATTATATTATATTTATTCTATAATGAGAGATCATCATATCACTATACTTATGCCCTTGCAAACACAATTACGGAAATTGTACATTTTTTAAAAATTTTCAGATTTTTAATATTGATAATTATGGTGATCCCACTAATAATCAACTAGATGCTCGACCTTAAATTTTTTTGTTTTAAAATTATAACATTTAGTAAAAATATATAAATAACATAATAATATAAAAATATTTGTGCAGACAAACGCATTTTAAAATAAAGTCATATATTATTTTAAATTCCCAGTTTTGCATCAAAACTAAAAATTGTATCCTTGCATTATAATTAATTTTGTCATTAGTGAATATTACCCATATCCCCAATAATTACATTAGTGATGAGTATATATAGTTCTAGTAGACCTGAGTTTCGTTATTTTCAGAGTAAAGAGTGGGCCAATAGATGGTATTTCAAGGCAAACAGAATTAACCAGAATGGTGAAGAATAAAATAGTACTATTTTTTATTGAAAAAAAAGTTTGAAACACGTTATAAACATGTCATTAAAATCATTAAACTTCAAAATAAACCAAAAAAAGTTTGAAATATGTTTTTAGATATGAAAGGAGAAATAAATTCTAACAATCTACCAAAAACTATAACAAGGTAAATTGTTTTTTAATATTTTATGATAATTTAATAAAAACATAATACAAAAAAAAACATACATTAAATTCATACCGTTTTTCATTTATTTTAATTTCTCGACAACATTTTATTTTGTTCCAGTACTATATTAAATAGTTAATTAACCACGATTAATGGACACTAATTTAACTTATTAAAAATTAAAACCTAAGTTCATTATTGAATTATCTAGTTAAGTTAAAACGTTAAATTTAAATATTTTAACACGTAAGTATCAAGATTTGAAAGAGTAAAACAAAACATTTATANTTTGTGTAGGTTAAATATTTTTTGAGAAAATTAAAAAAGCTCATATTTTTGAACTTTTGCGAGACAGTAAAAAAAAGCTCATTTTCAATCAATGAGGTCTATTCAGTGGCGCACCCAAGGGGGGGGCTTTGGGGCTAAAGCCCCCCCCAAAAATATTTTTTGCATTAAATTATAAATTATTATAGCACATTGTCACAAATATAGTATTAAAATGATTTTTTTTCAAAATTTTATTATTATGTTAGATACATATTAATAGTTCAATAATACGTAATAAGGTTTGCGGCAATCGCCGAACGCTTATTTTGTTGAAAATCGGTTTTTCAGTCGCAAAGGCCGAATTCGAATTGTGGTACGAAAAATTCAAAAATGGTTGCTATACTTTACCGCTAAACGCAATCGATGGTTTAAATTTATGTGATTTAAAAGTATTTGAATCAGTATTTATACTTTTGAAAATATTTGCAACGTTACCAGTAAGTACAAGTACGGCTGAGAGATCATTTTCCACGCTACGGCGAATCAAAACCTACCTCAGAAATACTGTGGGACAGTCACGATTAAATGGACTGGCAAATCTTCACATACATCGAGAAATACAAATTAAAGAATCTGAAGTATTAGAAGTTCTATCTGAAAAAGGACCCAGAAAAATTAAATTTTAAACTAATTTGTCATAATATTTTATTGAAAATATTAAAAACAGTATACTATATAATTTGTGGTAATAATAATAATAAAAATGTTTAAAAATGAGTAGTAATTGCTTTCTATTGTGTGTAAGGAAAATGTTTTAGCCCCCCCCAAAAAAAAATCCTGTGTGCGCGCCTGGAATAAAGTTAAAAATTTAAGTACAGATTTAGAATTGTTTTTATTATGTCCAGATTATGACAGGTAAATTTTTTTTTAGTCAATTGACATCGTAACAATAATTCTAAACATGACTTTACATATAACTGTATAAAATACAATTATAACTATTTGAATTATATTGCATATTATGCATTCATGTTTATTAAATATAATTCTTAAAAAAATTAAAAGCATGTGTTTATGTTGCTACACTGATTATATACAGGGTGGCCCAGCACTCACTGACAACTTAAATAACTTTTGATCCAGTTAATATTTTTAGCTGATTTTTTTTTTAAATAATAGTTATACGTTAGGTCTATAGTTATATTTCAATAATTAATTTTTTTACATTTTATTAAAAATATTAATTATTTTTAAATTTTAAATAAAATATAAAAAAAAATCTAAGATAGCTATTTTGTAGAGTAGAATTTACAACCATGGGATTAATACCATGATAAGAAATTTGATAAGGCATTATTACTTATCACTCTCATTTAAAAGTATAAGTCATTTTCATAGAAAAAGTTACACACCTCCAAATTATAGTAATCACGAAAAGATAGTGTTTTCTTCTGTCCNTGAAAAGATAGCGTTTTCTTCTGTCCTTTTCTCAATACGTATTTCAATGTTTAATACCGTAAAATAATACATGAAAATTCAAATTTTCACAAACTTCAAAACGCTACAGAATATTTACTACTCAATATTAATAAGATATTTTTTGACTAAAATTTTTCTTAAATTCTACTTTACAAAATAGCTATCTTAGATTTTTTTTTTACATTTTATTTAAAATTTAAAAATAATTAATATTTTTAATAAAATGTAAAAAAATTAATTATTGAGATATAGCTATAGACCTAACGTATAACTATTATTTAAAAAAAAAATCAGCTAAAAATATTAACTGTATCAAAAGTTATTTAAGTTGTCAGTGAGTGGTGGGCCACCTGTATATGTTGTCACACCTACCGATTTTTGCTTGTGATACTCATAGTTTTTTTTTTTTAATTTGGACCACACCATATGATATTAAATTATGTATAATTATAACCATAAAAACCATAGACCTTTTACTCATAAACTCCATTTTGTTATTTTTTTGTTTCAGAATAAAGACTTTAATAGATTTACCTTTAGACAATATATGTATGACTAATTGAATAACACCATCTATCTTGGTACACACTAGCAATGATATTGATATAGGGAGATCTGATGTATAAAAATAATGTAACGCAGCAGGGGTAGTTTGATATATGCTCGTGGTTATTTCACATATAACTATAGTATTTTCTATCTTGTACTTTTCTTTTTATCTATTTCCTAAAAAGTTGATAGAATTTTATAAGAGAAAAATTTTTGCAGTCTTAACTATTATACAAAAATATCTTGTATTTTTTGTAATTAAAATTAAAAAATTATTTATTAAAAATTATGACATTTATTTTAATTTTTTGGTGAAGTTAAAATGTTAAATAAAACAAGTTTTATACGTCTAAAACTTTAATATAATAATTTGATAAAAATACATGTTTAAAACATAGAACATCGTTTAAAACAAAACAAAAAACGTTTGAAAATGTATATTTTAAACATGTTTTTTAACAACATTAGTACTATAAATAGACAGACCACCTCTTCGTGGATACATGAAGATACCGTTCTAACTAAACTATATGCATTTTGTTTATACAAACATTACAATATTTATAGTAAAATTGCTTGAAGTTCTTCTTAGTTGTTATGTTAAAATTATAATTTACTACATCCTTGATATGAATTATTTTTATATTTAGTTTTTAAGTAGGAACACTAAAATAATAAAAATAACTCCGTGAATAAAAAAAATATGCAACATAACTAACATGGTAAATGTAATTTGATATTAAGTAATAATTTTTCAGAGAAATTATTTAATTGCCATTTTTATAGTGTGGTACGAAGTGTAAAAAAATGAAAACAAAAAGTAAGGAAACAATGAGAACAATAAAAACCTATTTCTTTCTTATATTCTAGAGAATTTTACTCAAATTTACTAGTGAATATGAAATACTAGAAATTATACAAACGAAAAAATAAAAACGATAGATCACAGATAATTTTTTCATCAATAATTTTGTAAAAACTTTGAGACATTAGCATCAATACATATCAAACAAAGTTGTCCACACAAAACATGTTTATAATTATTTTATTTTCTGTATAATATCCGCTTAAATACCTACAAAATATTCTTTACGATTAACACATGTTTTAGGTAACATGTATACAATAAGTATACCAATAATTGTATACTTGCCAAATCATCCAATTATTAACAAGTGGAGCGTTCCCATGATTGGTATACTTGACAAGTATACCAGTACTTGTACACTTGTACAAGTAATAAATAAAAGCCATGTATACTATTTCTACGACTGGATCAAATGCCAAATAATTGTAATGGGGGTAGGACCTGAAAAATATTAAGTCATGTATCATTTGCTTTTTTAGCACTGCAGTGTTTGGACGTTTCAGTGAGTGATTTAAAATACATTTTTTAGTAACATGTCTAGACGTGTTAAAACACGTTTTCTTGAATTTATCAGCTGAAAACCATTCTAATACAATGAAATGCTTTTATTAAAAAATGGCTTAACTGCAAAGAAATATTTATTAATTAATAATTTTTACTTAACTGAAAAAAATTTCATTTATAATTTTAAATAAAATATTCTGTAAGGTAAAACTTAAAATTATTCATGAAATGTAATTAATTTTTAATTAAATTTTTTGTAAAGTTTAATAATCTTGTGATAAAATGTTTGTCAAAAAATTATATTTATAAAAATTTAACTATAAATGAAAATAATTGTATAACGAACACAATCAGGTCTTCTAATGATAACATTATTATGTTAACTAAAATAATAATTATTGCATTAAATTAAAGTTTTTTTTTCCTAAATTGTTATCAATAATATTATCTCAATAAAAATTTCCTCTCGTAACGCTTAAAATACTTTATAGATAATAATATTTTTATTTTATTTTTATGAGATTTAGGTATACATTCATCAGAACAATTTATCACAGTCCATAACAGAAAAACAATACGAATTTACAAAAAAGATTTTAGTTTAAATCGTTTTTAATTTTGAAACGCATAGTAAAAACGCACAAGCCATCGTACAATTATGAGCTATGACTAGTAAATAAGATAAATTTAATGATAAATGTAGAATGACTGATGCACATTAATGTATGCATTAATAATATTTATCTCTAAGAGCTACAAATATCACTTCTTTCTTGTACGTTTATTTGAATATTAAGTATTTTTTAAGCTAATCTAGAATATATTTATATTCATTCAATACTATGTTAACACCAAAATTCCGGTTTCATCTGTGCGGTCTTAAATTCCGGTTATAAATTTCCAGATGAAAAGTTTTTTTGTTTGACTACCACCAAATACTTGATACAAAAAATGTATTATAAATCAAAGGGTATAAATTCTTTTTGGTTTTTTGGAATGTTGTTATGACTTAACTCTAATCATATGATTCTTTATATTGTAGCTTTTGCTTTTCTAGGTAAAATGCCTGTTAATATTTTCGATGTATATCTGTAATATCATTGTAAACAATTTATACTACTATGCGGATTGTTTCAGTCTTAATTGAGAGTAAAATAAATAAATAAATTTTAATTTGTGGATCCATAATTCATTTTTGATTATTTCAAGCAGAAAAGCGTTTGCTATTTCAACATAAATCTTAGTTATGACTCATATTTTTATAATTTATATCTACGATTTTGACAAAACATAGAAGTCTTTAAATTAAATAGATAATTTGCACTGTACTATTAAGCTTCTTTGTCAAATAATCAACAAAATAATTAAATGCATGTGTTAAATAAAAAATTTGACAAATAAGTCAATAATTATATCAAAGTGCAACGAGATAAACATCTTTTTAAGATTTTTTAAAGGGTTATTTTATGGACTAAACTCTATAACATAATGTCTAGTAACTTGAAATATATTTTTTATTATCGTTTAGAAAATGTTAAAACAGTTTAACATAAAAAATTACATTTTTTCTATAATACACATAAAACAGTTATATGTAATGTTAGGTAAATAATATACGGAAGAATGTCTACGTAAAATAGAAAAAGTATAACTAATATTTGTTGCAAGTTTTCAACCAAATTTTGAAGTTTGTATTAATCAACGTAATATTTAAAAAAGGATGTTATTATAGAGAGTTTTGGGTTTAACCCTTAGAAATTGAAAATGATAGTATGATTTTGATTCGTGTAAAAGGTAAAAAAATCTTAGATATGACATTGCAAAATACATTAATAAAAGATTATAATTTTTTTACAGTACTCTAAATCTAAATTAATTATAACTAATGATATTATAATCTTATATGTTAGCAGCTTGTTTAACTAATTGCGGTCACTTTTTTTTTTAAAACATCTAGTCTATGATAAATAAAGATTCAAGATGGCAAGTAGTTTAATTTTATAGATCAAGTTCCATAATAAAGATCGAATAAATTAAATAAATATTTTAAGACAATGCTATAAGATAAAATAACGTTATAGTTCAAAGAGAAAGCGAATAAGTACAATATTATAATAAATATTTAATTATATGTTATTTAACTCTATAACTCATAATCAGTGTTATTTGCAAAATTATTTTTAATTGCTCTCTTACAATTATTACAAGTATATGTATTCGTTAGAACAATTAACGTCATTACGGTTAATATTTTAATGATAATTATTCATAATTTATCAGTAATTAGTTTAGAAATTTTAAAATCAAGTAATAAAACGTTATCATTAAAAAAAATTACAATCGAGACAATCATGAAATAAAAAAATTTATTACATTTATTTACTTTAATCCTACGTTTTCCTGCTAAATTAAACAAAACAGGATTTTTAGCATCTGGTACACGCTGACTTATGATTACAATTATGGTAAAAAAAACCAAGGAGTCTGCAAAGAATTTTACAGGTATGTGACTTCCAACATTAATTCTATTCTCACGCTTAAATAACTATATAACTACATTACTACCGTTTTATATTAACAACAATTTTGTACTGGACATTATTTTTACTTTACTAAAGTAACTAAACAGCAGTCCATAAGCCTTGAGACTGATAAGTTGTCGTAATCGATGTCACGAGTACAACCGTCAGGATTCTTAAATACACGGGGAATACGTTTTAATAATTTTTGTAACCTCGGCTATTAATGAGATTTTGAGTGACTTTTATTATAAATAAAAAAAAAAAAGATCAGACAGTGATATATACTCTGTAATTTATTGTTTAACTTTTTACTTTATTTTTCGTATATTTTTCCTTAAAATATTGTGGTAACCAATTAACATAATGGTATCCTATGATTCATAAGCTATGATTTAATAAGAAGCTGTTATGTTGTAGTTTAATGACTAAAAATATTGTATTAGTGAAACAAATTCTTGTACGTGTTATTTTTATTTTATTTTCATAAAAATATAATCAAATAAAGCTGATTTAAAAATTCATTATTTTGTAAATTTTACTAAATTGAATAATACACTAAAGTATTTCTGCAGATTCTCTTGGAGCAGTATTTCTATTTAGAAATAAAATTATTTGTCCGTAAATAATGTAGAGGATGTTGAATATATCATTGTTAATAATATCTATGTAACGACCAACTAAGAAAATCTGTAAGAACCTTAAAAATATTTTGACATGTGTCAGTATTCTACTGATATCAGCTGACCGGATTTCATTTTTATTTGAAATACGCCCAAAAGACTGTCTACCCTTAAACAATAAACTCCAATAAAAGCAAAGAATTATTTTGACCTCGTCCTGTGTATGATTAGAATGTATTTCTTTTGTTGAGTGAATTCGATTTTTGTTTTTTATTCAATTTTTCATATTTCATAAGATTAAATTTTCTGTGCGACAAACAGTATAAAATGTAATTCCCGTTTGCTTAAAAATAATTATTATTTTGAACAATTTAAACTATAAATTATTCTTTTCAAAATGTATGTTTACTTAAATATGTATTGCGAAAAGAATATATTTACTAAAAAAAATTAATGTCATTATTTTTACATGAAAGAAAATTAGTAATTTTGTCCAAAAATTAATTTGAGAATTAGTTCAATTCAAAACATGAAATAAATTTTTATTTTGATTTATGTTTATTTCTACACTTAAGTGTAAATTAAATTTAATTGTCTGGCAAAATATAGAGTAACGAGAAAATAGTCATCTTTTCTTTGGAAATTTAATTCGTTACACTCCTCGTTCATTAATACATTAAAAAAAACTAATATTAAAAAATTATTTTTTTCATTAAAAGTTTTTACTGAACCTCGTTCCGTCCAATCATTCAAAAAACGATGTTTAAACTAGTGATGGATAACGATATATTTTTCAAAATCGACATTATTTTTATTTTAGCATTGATGATATCATCTATATACTGATGTGTCCAAAAATATTTAAACTAATCAATAGTCCAACTTGTTTTAACTTCATAAAGCTATCTATTAAAAACTCTTGTTTTTAACATACAGAAATTTTACTATAAATAATTAATATAAACCTTAAAATTATTTGGTTAATATGTATATTAGAAAAAATTATTTTTCATATTTTATCATAATCACATTAAATAAAGTATAATTTAATGAAAATTTTTATGATTTCATAAATTTTTTATTAAAAAATACTGGTATTGGTTAATATTTGAATAGTTTATGCCGTATAATAATATTCTATAGATAAAATAAATACTTAAAAAGGTTAATATGTAGATAAATTCTTGACATGTCTCACAAACTCGTTTATTAAATAGTTATATACTACATGAGCAATAAAACCTTATTAATGAATCATATGATAATATGCTTATGCATATGCAATTCTATAAGAAGATGTAACTAAAATGTTAAGAGTGCATCATTCCAAACATGGAAAATTTAACTTGTGCAAAATTCCATTTTTACAAAATTGTTTATTTCTATGTTTGCTATTTAATCTTAAATTGTATAAACTCCAAAATAACTTCTCCAGCAAAGAGTGATTTGGTAATAATTGAAGTATTGGGCGATTTAAATATAATATTTTTTGATAAATTGATTGCTAATATAAATATTATAAACTTAGTAAGTATTGTAATATTAATTTAGCTCAAGTAAAAAAAAATTAATATTTTAAACTCTACTACTTAATAGTATTGTAACAAAATTATCTTATTAAGTTGTAACATAATGAAATATGAATAAATCGGTACATGTAATTTATGTGTGAATTCATAATAAATGAGTAGATTTTTTCTCTAGACTAAATTGAACTTGAGAGAATTCAATCGAATGGTAAATTTAATTCAAATTTAAATAACTTAATTTTTCTTGCGAATATTTAATACATTGAAGTGTAATTGAAGAACCTTATTGTAAATTTTATGTAAATATACTCCGAGAATACAGAAGTTTGAAGCTACACATGAAACTACGATTGCATAGAACACTACACGCACAGTTATTATTATATTGTATGAGTTATCGCCCATTTAATAACACATATTGTGCGGCATAATAACTTTAGGCCATGTTTCTTCGAGTGTATATAATTATTTTATAATTTATTTAGGATATACTCCTACATATTGCATTTAAGAAACATATTAGAAAAGCAGTAATGAATATTTTAATGTATTATAATACATGATTTCGAATGCATATAACAATATTACTGTTATAATTAAATCAACCGAAATGGCCTACCGCAGCAACTAATTCAAAAACAATCACATAGAAAAATTAAGACAAGGTATTTACTTTTAATGTCTTGAAACTATTCACTAAAATACTAATGTATATACAATTTAATCAAAATTGTTCCTATTAAATTACACTACATCATTTCTGTCAGATTTATATATTATTCAGATGTAAAATATATTAAGTAATATAACATAATAAAAATAATAATATATACATGTTATCCAATAATAGTATGATAAACAATTTTTAAATCACAAATTAGTTATTATAAAGTGTATTGCCAATAAGTTTATTAGAGTTTTTATAATTAAATCATACTGGATGGTGTTATTTCTAAGTATTAGGAAGTAGAGTGTTTTCAATATATTTGTTTCCAGAGGAGGTATTTTTTAAAAATTGTTCATTACAAAATGATTTAAGCTAACTTCAACATACCATATTTACATCAGGTTATTCTGAATATGTTAGGAGTTAATTTGCGTAAAATTAAAGTATTACTATCTCTATTAGGTCGTGCAGAATTGTAAATAATTTATTACACGCGGCAGTGATTTTATGTCCTGTGCGCTGGTCTGTTCTTTGTGTACCGGCCAAAGTATATTGAACGACTGTATTTCGAGTACCTACATTTTTTTTGTTCGGTAAACGTTTTTATAATCCTCGTCAACAAAGTAATAACATCTAAGTCGTAAACGAATATTAATTTTTTATGTTGAAACTTTTTTTGCACCATCGACGCAAACGCAATTAATGAACTGCGTTTCAGAAATTATATAAAACCTTTGAGAAGACTAATGAACTATTCACCACGTGTTTTGCCATCTTCATCTTCGACATAAACGTACCCAAATTCAAATTTATGTGACAAATGCCAACAACACCGACAGTAAAATAAAATCATTTATTATTGTTTCACTTAAAGTAATTGTAATTAAATTTAAATTAGGTAAAAAAAGAAATTGTGTGTAACTCAATTGTTAAATTATTATCTCGTTAAATTGCTTGCGCTCAGGTACCGAGAATTCGAGTGGTTCTAAAAAATACTCCATCTGTTTGAAGTAATTATTATTTTGCATATTTGTCTCGTCATGCTACCACATTGTTAAGTTCTTTCAATCGAATTTCCCATCGTTCAGTCGAAAGTATATTTGAAAAACAAATCATAATAATGAAAGACTTCTTGACGTCTATTTCTTCAAGTTAAATTGTCTGTAATTAATTTACTAGGTAGAGTAGAAACATGCATTTACCATTGATGACTTTATACCTTTAGCTACGTTCAAACCGTGTAAGGTGTTCAATTGGTTACCTGAACATCGGTAGGTGCTCACGCTATCAATGTTTTAATTGTTTACAATGTTATTTTCACTGCTGCAGTGCTCACTATACATTGGATTTTCTCATACACGTGTAATCGTGGTAAAAATAAGTATAAGACTTAACAATAATTAGATTCTCCCCAATGGCATAACACATTTGAGAACGTAAGTAATTTCTACTCAACTTCGTTCTGAGTTTTATTTGAATATCCATATACGACAAAATGATTGATGTTCCTGTAAATTTATTTCGAATGAGTAACGGTGCGTTTTGGAAAAAATAACTATTATTGGGATGTATAAAACGATATAAATTTAAATGGCTTTGTAATCGTAGTTGATATTTTTCACCACAATTTTTGCTACAACCGAACGTTAAGACATAAATGAACTCAATTTTATAGCATGTGCAATTTTTATTATTAAACGACAATCCTAAATAATGTAATAACTACTGCCATGATCATTATAAATTATTTTTATGATTATAACGGTAATAATCGTTTGGAATAAATGATAATGACTATCTGTAATCGGGCAGTAATAACAATAATATATTTATTACTAATGAATGGAAATGTATTCCAATTAATGAATATCCACGGCGGCGGTGATCGCACACACAGGTGGACACCGGTGGCCGACTTCGGGGTGGTTCGGACGTCGCCGTCGGTACCGACCGTGAATCATCTGGCTTCCCAGTCGGTGCCACCGCCGACGACGCCGCTGCAGCTGCACCGATCATCACCCGGTTGGTTAGTGGTGCTTGTGCGAATGCCGGAGTTGGTCGACAGTACGTTGTGGCTCGTCGTGTCTCTACACCGTTAGCACCGGAGGCGTCTCGTCCGGAACTCGACGCGTGTTATCTTGGATAATATAATACGGATCGATAAAATCGCTCACGATTAGTGACGGTCCAGTAAGAGCCGTGCAAATGATACTTCGAATGATTAATACAAGTTTCGATTACTCTTGAATGTAAGCCCTGAATGTTTTGTTTGTTTTTTGGCTATTATTCTGCGTTGTATATTATCGGCCAAGTGGATAAAAGGCAATATTTTGCGGCGCCTTCTACAGTAAACAAAAACAATATGTTTTCGACGGATAAGTATGCCGGTGCGTTATCACAAACGCGTTCAAGACGCCGGCCGTGTCGTTACTATGGCGTCCCGTCGGCCGTCCTGCTGCTAATGGCTAGTGTGGCAGTGAACACGGCCCAGCCACCACTTCCTTCGCCGTCGTGTTACAGGACGTCCAACTACTTTCGTACCCATTTAAACGACACGTCCAACGTGTTGGCCCAACCGACATCGAGTAAGTACAACGACTTATTCAATATTGACCAAAAACGTTATCGATCAAAGTTCCTCGGGGTGTTTATCCTTTGGGGTGGCGCGTGTATAATTTCAAAAGGGTGACAGTTTATTGCGTTTCCGGACCCTTCCGTACCTTTTTTGCACTCTCCCCACTCTTTCCTTTGTTGAATTTCGCCGTAGTTAATCGATATGATCGACGGGCAGTACACGTGCTGTTTTATAGTAATCTCGCTTTTGGTCGACCACTAAGTTATTGGCAAATTTCCGAAGACAGTTTCCTAGACCATTGACTTTTAAAATAAACAAAATTATTACTTTAAACCAAGAACTATTCATTTGCGTAGTAGTAGTAGACAATATTTTATTTTACTTAAAATGTCAAAAAAAAATAAATAATGTTATCAGCATACTATTCAATTATTTTTTTTACCATAGTATACTTATAAAGTACTGACGAGCCATCTAATGAACCCGTTTGAACTCAAAAAGCGGTGTCTCATAAATGGGTTTTAATCTTAACATTTTGTGCACAGTCGGCACTTAATGACATGATATAATAATATCTTCAGAAATACCTAAATAATATATATAGAACTGAGGTATTTCATAATGTTTATTACATATCGTAGAAAAATGCTCGATATTTTTTTTCAAGGCAGCGTGTGAAAAAAAAATGATGTTAATTGCATAGTGCAAAGTTTATTCCCATACCTCATGTCAAAAGATAATTTTTTTAACAAAATGGCGCTGAAGCTGAAGTCATTGATGTTTATTAAACTCGAGTGCGATTATGACATGTAAACCTAAAATTGATTATCCATAACAATAATTACATCATACGTGTACCTTTAAGTATTTCATTATAACATGCACTCTTTTATTCAAAGCCATACATTGTATTCTAAATGAGTGATTCGACATTATTTCAGTTGAAATGCACTTATCACGATGTCTTATAAGCCCAACAAATATACGGTTCGTAAAAAAATAGTTGCTTATTACTGATTTAATAGTTTAAGTAAGGAAGATAAAAAACTTAGGTTATGAAAAGTTTTAAAAAGTTAAATATTTCCAATTTATGTTTATAAATTGGAAATATTTTATTAAGTAAATTAACTATTTTAGACCACGTAAAATATGAAGGTTATTTAAATTCAATGTAATGTGTTTTGATTTATCTTTGTAATTACACTTTACGGGTAAAAATATTCTGGCAAGTGAAATTTTCTATTATACAGTGATTGAGCTGATNATGTGTTTTGATTTATCTTTGTAATTACACTTTACGGGTAAAAATATTCTGGCAAGTGAAATTTTCTATTATACAGTGATTGAATAAATAAGGGTTGTTGACAGTTACTTTGTATCCTTGTTATTTACAGAAGTACTTTTTATTGGAAATCGTTCAAGAAAATGGTTTCATTTTGTTTGTGCTGTTATAAAATATGATGTTTTAACAAGTATTAAACTTGTTGTGTGCCCTGTGTTATGTTTATTGAAGTTTTTCTAATATATTTTCTACTAGCCGCCCGCCGCATGAAATATTGTACTAATAAAATATATTCTATTCCAAAATTTGTATCGTTTTCATCACAAGTCTAGTGGTCGTGTTGTCCGACGTGCTTAAGACGATCTATTTACGTGTTTCCTAGTGTATTTTCGTCCTGTTTAGGGCTGTTTTTAACGGTTCATTAGAGAAAAGAACAGTTTGTGCGGCCGTTAATTAGCTTGCATTATTCTCGTGTATTTTTGGTATCTTAAACCATGTCGCGTTTATATTTGATTTTTACATTAAAAACAACGCCCAGCGGTCTAAATTAGAAGCTACTGCATTCGACCGCAAGTGTATTTAACCCAAATCATATGGTTAGACATTTTAGAGTACAGTAATCTCGTTTGTGGTGCGGACCATAAACGACCACGAATTTAGAGCATCGTAGTCATTTTTATGAATTTAAGTACATCTGTTATAAACTGATTTCTGTAAACATTTTGGCTTTTGTTTAACGTGCCCGTCGAGGTATCAGTATCGACACGAGTGTCGTCGGCGGTAACCATTCGAAATACCTATTGATTACATTTACAACATTATGAGTGCACTTCATAGTAATGGAAATAATGGAATCGATACGCTGTCTCGTGTGTGGTAATAATGATTGAGATAACACGCTGAGCGATAATTATAACTCGCACGATCAATACAACAATAAAATCACACCGGTAAGGGCTTTTTATTCGTTGTTTCCTTCATTAGCCGAACGCGTTTTCACTCTTTAAGTAGTCCCACTCGGCTTATCTACCCCGACGGTCTTTGAACAATGGTCGTCTCAGACGGAGAGCCGGCCAGACGTATCTTGGGAACAAATACGACTCGTGTGGAATGTCTCCGAGTACACCTAATATTGTATTAGCTGCAAAACGTGTATTTAACCGAACCGGTAGGAGTAGTCGTGAAAGGTTTTAACTCGGTACGTTACACTCACTTGGAGACAAACCAACTCTGGACACATATTAGTTGTGTATAATATGCCTGGAACGACATGATAACCGTGTTCACGTAGTGTGACATTAATTTATACTACAAAAAAAGCTGACATTTATTATCTCAATGACTTTTACACCGACTTTGAATGACTCTTGTTGTTTATCTTTCTAAACTATCATCGATTTGTTTATTTCGGTCCCAACCATATTTTGGTATTTATAGGCCTAGCACAGATAATTAAGTATGGATAGGCTATGTTCAGCAAAGGCCGAGTTCTTTCGGCGCCTTGCGCAAAAAATAATACAATTAACAATTTTGCACCTCGAGGCAACTGCCCACATTGCCACCTTCTCGGGGCGTCCGTCGATGGTGACTTATCAGACGTTCCCGAAAAACTATCCCGAAATAACTATTTTTTTTTTCATTTCATGAACAAATTAATTGAATAATTTATACTTCTATGACTCACGTTATAATATGCCTATGATATTTTTTATGTTAGCATTTCACTGGTAATCGCATTAACTATTGCCTTTGTTGATGACTGGAAAACATTAGATTTTTCGTCAAGTTCCAAACTAGAATAGAGTTAATTATTTGCTCGCGTACAAATCAGTCTTAAATGTCTCGTGTAATATTAAATTATACGATGAGGCGCAGTTAGAGCTATGTATTAACGTACACAACAAAGACACAAAGGATCGTTTGTTTTGAATAATAAAGAAAACATCTTCAAAATAAAACAATATTGTCTATCAAAATTAAAAACTATTCCACAGTGCACACGTACAATTAATCTTTGTGGGCCCTTACAAAATTAATATTTCATCATTTATCTTTTATATTTTTAATAATATAGAACAACATTTACGGGAATTGAACTCGAGGACGGTGCGCCTCTATTCAATAAAATGTTTTGAATACAAATTTAATGTGTCTGAATATGTGGTCTGTTAGAATTCTACTGAAGATTTCATGAATTAAAGCCTGTAGACGATTGCAAGTATATTAAGGTTAGATTTGTACATCATTTGTCAAATTCAATAGATGTTTTTTCGTTCTTTAATCTAGTAGACTTAAAATAGAATTCGAAAAAAACGTTATTTTTAACGGAAAAATACTTTCAATCGATTTTTAATTGTAGTAATGACATATGCGAGTCGTGTAAGTGCTTGTTTTTGAAAAATCAAACACGACGTTCGTTTTGTTCAGATCAACATAGGGAGACGTGTAATTTTTTTATATTTTTATGATATCAACACGTCGATTGTAACACCAGACTTATAAAAAATAAACGTATTAAGTTTTAGCATATTTAACGCAACATCCCATTTCAACACTAATGTGTGTAATGGCCTCTTCTCGCTTACGACTCTTAAGTGCAATTTTAAATAAAATATTATTGATGAAAATACCTATTCAATTACACGATCCTCTCAGGTATAATTTAACATTTTAATTTAAAGTTTTTGTCCGTGCATTTGTTAAATAATCATTACGAATGATAATCGCTAAACAATTATATATTTTTAACACTCTAAGGTGCGAACGCCCCCGAGGCTCATCTCGAATTTTACTAGCCTAGTCATAATTAGTGACAGAGTTTTTTTGTTTTTTTGCTCGTCGCTTTTAAGGTAGCGATATTTTCCATAGGGAGGCCATCTTCAGGTACCACCTTAATCCGTTAACACTGAATTAAAAGGAAATAGTACGATAAATAGGAAAAGACTTGAGCTGCCCTCTGACTGTGCTAATGCACAATGGAACATTAATACAGCAATCCGAGTACGATAATTATATAGTTCTTATCGAAAGTACCCTTTGGGGATATATCAGACGTAGTTGGTCCATTATAACCTCTGAAGATCTTGGTAATTAACACTAAAAGCCGTGCTCTTACGACAAACTCGTTTTTAATATGAATAATATTTTTGAAACGTCATGGTGAAAATACACACGGGCTGGTAGCAACGGTAGTGTTCGCCCAGTAAACCCAGTGTAATGATACCAGTGAGTTTTTTCTCACAGATAACATTTTAGGTTTATCCGCTAGTGTGTGAATGTTGATTATTGACCGGCTAAAAGCTGTTTAATGGATGACGCGGTCGATGTTCGTGTCCGGTCACGTTCCGGCGTTAGGTCATACAGAATTAAAAGAGGAAGTGTTCTTGGCTTGGTGTTAAAAACGGCGAGTCTTCTACATAATTCTCGTTAAACGACCGTTTATCTCGTATTTTTTCTCTATAAAAATATGTCATAAAACTTCTTGTTTATGCCGGTTGCTTGTGCTCAAAACAGCGATGTTTAAAAAATGGTTGTTATGTTAGAACAACCCGCCTGTGGATTGTTATCAAATTGTCGTGCCATGTCGTTATTTAGACTTTATTCGTCCTGGTTCTCACACTTATTTCTTTGTTTTCGAATCTTTCTAGTGATCTATATTGCCTTAGGTTCTGAATGAAAGATAAAAAATATACGAGACAAATCTTCGAGCTAATAAAATTTCAAACCGA